CAGTTGTTTGCTGTCAGTTGGTTGGAAGCTCCTCTCAGGTCCTAGAGGCCACTGTAGTTATTTGCCATGTGGGGATTCCCAGTGTGGCCACCTGCTTCCTCACAGCCACCAGGGACAGAGAGAGACTCCTGCAAGCTGGGCACTACCGTCTTCTGTGACATAATCACATAGATCCCATAACCTTTATCATACCCTGTGGGTAGGAAACAAATCACAGGTCCTGTCCATCCTCAAAGGGAGAGAGTCACAAAAAGGCATGAACCCAGGAACTGGAAGACAAATTCAATGGCAGTGGGTGAGGGGCCCTTGGGGGTCTGGCTACCACATCCCTCTCATCCTTTCTCCTGTTCTGCTTTCTTTCCCTCTTCCTTCATTTCACCATCCTATCTAGACTCAGACCTAGGGCTTTGCCAGTAAATAAGAGTTTTACAGATATGATATTGACAAGGAATATCACTTTGTGCCAGGTACCAAGCTAATTTTCTTTTAAATTTTTTATTAAAGTATAATATACCTACAGAAATCTGCAACATCCAAAGTATAGAGTTTGATGAATTTTTTGGAGACTGAACATATCCGTGTAACCACCCCACAGATCAGACAGCAGGCTATTACCAGCACCCCAAAGCCCTTTACGGCCCCCTTCCAGTCCCTGCACCCTCAGAGTGAGTCTCTGGCAGCACAGGCCACCTTTGTGTGTTTTTGTACATTGTATGAATGGAACCCACAGCCTGCATTGTTTTGTGTCTGGATTTCCTGACTGTACACAGGGCTGTGGCATGTGGTTCCAGGTGGTTCATTCTCATTGCTGAGCTGGGTTCCCATGTGTGAATAAACCCCAATCTGTGTATCTGTTCTCTTGGTGATGGGTGCTGGGTAATCTCCAGTGTGGAGGTGTCACAGACAGTGCTGCTGTGAGCTGTCTAGTCTGCGTGTTTTGGTGAACACGTGTAAACAGTTCTGTTGGCTATACACCTGGGAGTGGAGCTGCTGGGTCGCTGGGTGTGCCTGTTTCAGTGGGCCGTGTTTATGTGTATAATCCTCATGTCCTCACCGAAGGGAAGGCGCCACCAGCTCTTCATGCACGACAGCATTTGAGCCAGACCCTCACTTCCTCCAGAGCTCCTGAAAGACCAAACAGGAGGCAAGGCCAACAGGCACAGTGGAGAAAGTGTAGGTCTGGCTCTAATGCTTTCTCATTATTGACAACCCTTTTTAATTACCTTTTCTTAAGAGACATGTTTTGGAAGATTTCTGCACACCAAGCTACCAAGAAAACGTCGTCTGCTCAATGTTATTGAATTCGTATACCAATTCTCTTAGTCAAAGGTGTATCTAACCAGCTGCGGCGTGGCTGACCCAGCCACATGCAGAATAGAACTGCCGTAAACTCAGAAAAAATAAGTCCAGTTTTGGGTTCACCTCTGTGGCCTTCTTACAAGAACATGGGGTTTCTGCAAGGCTGTGGAACACTGATAAACTGCTGTCCCTCCCCTTGTGATGTTAGGGAACTTTAGGTGATGGAGATCTCCACCCCCTCAAGACCTAGACCCTGTCTGAAATCCTCCGATTTATGATCAATAAATATAATGAATGCATAAGTAATTCACAAATCATTTGGACCAGACCTAGATAATCATTTTAAACAAAGTTTCAAAGTCCTATCCACTGACTGTGGGCTTGTTCTTAAACTAAGATCCGTTATATGAAGGTAGTAAGGAACACTTTCCAAATAGCCACCAGGTGGCCAGAAAGCCTTCAGCCTGTTGTTCAAATTTGGGTGTACTTGTTCTTTCCCATCCGTCTGTTTCTGCTCTTCTCCATATCTGGCACACGTGCGTGCACTCTCTCGTTTTCTGACTCTCTCTCTGTGTCTCTCTGTATGAATATGTGTGATATATACCATATGTGTATCTCCTATATTAGAGAGAGAGAGACATCTTTCTATCTCTATAAGCAAAATTAGGATCCCACTGTATCTTACTTTCTTATTAGCATTTTTTATGAAATAAAAAAAAAGTCATTTCAATGACATGATTTAAAAAACTGCTGTTTGATATTTCATCACATGCATTCGCCATGATTAATTTGACTAATTCTGTATATGGGGATGTTTATTGTTTATGTTGATGTTTAAGCTGTTTCCAATATTTTGCCATTGCTAATGACACTGCAAGAATATGCTTGTACCCAGATCCTTGGGGACATCTTTGATTTTTTTGTTTTTTAGGCTAAGTGACAAGATGTTAAATAACCCACTAAATGAGTTGGCTTTTGGATGTTAGCTTTTGAATCACATTATCAAATTCAAATTTATGCTCCTGCCAATGGTGTACCAGAGTGTCTTTTCTGCCTACCTTGGTGATTTTCTATTACAATGATTTTTCTCAGTTTTATAGGTAAAACATGGTTGTTTGACTTTAATTGCATTTAATTGATTCCTGTCCAGATTTGCTGTCCATTTACGTTTCTTCTTATTTTGCATTTTGTGTTCCTTTTTATCTCATGTGCTTTCCTACTCCCCCACAGAATGCCACCCCATTCTTGGGCAAGCCTCTTTCCCTGCGGCATCTCTGCCTTTACCACGGGAGTAATACCAGTGTCCCACGGAAGAGTGCTTTGCAAAGAGAACATGGTCAAATGCTTCGCAAACAGAACGTGTCAGAAAAGTGCACACTCAAAAGGCCCGCAGGTGGCTTGGCCAGCCACATGTGTCATTCCTCCAGCTGGGATGCCCGAACTCCCTCTAGAGCTGTAAACCTCACATCTCACCCAGATTCCGGACCCCATCACCCAGGGGCCAGCAGAGCAGGAGGGGCCGGCCACGGTACCTAATGACTTAACCAGGTGAGGTTCACTTGCACGTCGGGTTTTTGCACGATTGTGCCTCAGAGGAAGTGTTCCCTACTGCTCTGGGAAACAGGGCAACCGTAAATCAGGTAACAATATGGCACTGACTTATTTATCCTTCTAAGAGTTTTACATTCTGAAGTCAGCAAGGGACCCATTGCCCGATCCACGGCCAATTTGCAGTCATCACTTTGGGAAAGCTAGACGCCCTTGCTCAGCTGGAAGGCATGCTGGGGGCGGGCATGAGCCCAGGCACCCCACAGAGAGGGGCCTGATCGTGTATCTCAGCCTGAACCAAATGTTATCTTCCAGGGTCGTGAGACAGAGACAGGAAGTCACCAAACAGTGGGAAATTCTTCCTCTCACTGCTTATACTGCTCTTTGGCCTCCCCCGGCCTCCTCCTTCAACAGGAACATTTGCCCGGACAGCGGCTGCACCCCTGGGGGGCGTGACAGCGAGTCATTCTAACAGAAGTGGACATGAGAAAAGAGTAGCCCTCTGGCCTTCAGCTGGTGCTAATTAGCAATCAAGGCCAAGGCTGAAGTCAATGTCCCATAAAGTCATGGTATAGCTTATGAGAGAATATTAGGCAGGCATTAAAAATAATGTTTTCAAAGAATTTTTATGAGACTAAAAAATGCTCATGACATGAAATAAAAGGAAGAAAAGAAAGGTGTAAAACCCACAGATAGAATACAGACTAGGATTCCAATTATGTAAAGGAGTAGCTGGAAATATTGTAAAATGGTGACTGTGATTAGCTTTGCAGGTGAAATTAGGTTTGAATTTTATGCTCTTTCTCATTATATGTTAAAAATTTCCTACACTATGCATTTGTGACTTTGATTTACTCCCCCAAATTAATATTTTATAAGACCAAGTCTGAAGTGTGCTGCCCAGGCCCCTGGGGATTTCACAAGTGCTTATTTGGTGTTAATTTCTCTCTTTACCAGAGTTAGGACTGGCTGTGCCTGCCCTCACCCCACGTGCTTGCTTTCTTACCTGCTTCCTTCTTCTTCCCTCCCTCGCTTCCTTCCTTCCTGACAAACATTTTCCCACCCTGAGCCCTGGGAAGTCTTCTGAGAAAAGCAAATCTTAAACCCAAACCAAGACCAAATTTGCAACAAGCTCAGGGATAGGGGAGAGGGGATTGGTCTGGCAGCCCTCCTGGTGCAAAAAGGCTCGTGAACCCACAAATGGCTCTGCATGCCCTACTCACACTGCTCCTAGCAGGCTGCCTTCAGTTCTGGTGCCATGATCAAAAAAGAAAATTGAAATGTCTTCTGCTGATTCCAAAAATGCCACTAACATCCCCACCAATAATATTAGCAGCAAGACCACCACCACGTACCGCGTGCTTATCACGTGCCAGACAGTGGATTAAACCATGATCTATTGTCTCATTTGATTTTTAAAACATCTCCTTTACAGATGAGAAATCTCAGTTTATTGAGGTGAAGTAATGAGGCGGGTTCATGTTAATCTGCATAAATTTCCCTGGAGAAAGGAGGGAGGCGAGTCTCAGGAAACCTCTGCCGTCTTTGCTGCTGGGGCCTCCCGCCTTCAGCCTTGGCTGCTGGGATTGGAGAAGCCGGCAGGAGAAACGCATCACCCCGGGGACACTTGTGTGACTCTTCCTGACCAAGAGTGACAACTCACCTCATTTTAGAAGAACATAGGTTTAAGTGGAAAAATTTTAGTGATGAGACAGGTATGGCTTGCTCATGGGAAGTAAGAGGTTGAAGCTCCAGAATCGGGAAGGTGGTTGCCCAGGTGGCCCTCAGCTGCATCCACCGTGCTCTCACCCCTGACTACTGTTTGCCTGACTCTGGCCATTTTGATGGCTTGAGAGGCCAAGCACTGCTCAGGCCCGTGGCCCCACTGGGTGACTTTGTGGGTCCCTGGGGAATCAGGTCCTTTCTCATACAGTTTGCCAGAAATGTGACAGCAGTAGACTGGGCCTCCCCAGGGCAGTCCCTCAGTCAGCTGGTAGGGGGCGCCCAGCAGTGAGAGGAGGATGCTCGTTGGTCAAACAGACTGGAGCTGATGGGAGATTACTGAGTATCCCAGACAAGTATATCCTGCATGTAATCACCTCGTTATTGCATATTACCTACTCTACTAATGTATAGAAAAAAATGTGAACTGCCCATGTAAAGCATGGCTTTAATAAAACCAGTTTATTCATGAGGTCATGGGCACAAAGTTAACTTGGACCAAATGTAAATTGCATGTTTCTTCTAGAATAGCAGCTTGCCCCTGAGGACTTGCCTGCCTCAAGCCATTTCCTGGGAAGCTGATCCAATGGGGACTTAAAATCCCAATGGTGACCTCTTCCTGGGTCAGAGTTGGTTCGGGTTACATGCTCCTGAGGTCCCTGAAGACCACGTGTGCTGCATTGCGTCCAGCGGCTCCCATGACACCTCCTCCTGGAAGGGAGTTTCCCATGAACCAAAGTTGTGCTCACCCTCACTCCCCCTCTTCCTCCCACCCACCCACCCACACACGCAGAGGCACCAGCAGAGCAGAGCGGGGATGCCTGAAGTGTGGTGCTGGGGCCGTGGCATCAGAAGCACCTGGGACGACTCTGAAGCCAGAGCCTGGGCTCCCCTGCAGGCTGCCTGCCTCAGCGCTCCACAGAGGGGCCGGTGCACAGTCCAAGCAAGTGTCCTCCCCCACCCCCAGTCTGAGAGCCGATGGGCCAGATGGTGAGACTCTCTTCACGTGAAACTAGATTGAGGGGCTTGCTAAGGGCTTGGGGGGAAGACGTGGAAGTTCGGACCCTGTCTGGGAGACCAGGGCCCATATAGCTCAGAGGAAGCATCAATAGGAAATGAGAATCTGTAGGGTTGGTTAGGCCTGGGATGGGGCAGGGAAATTTTTTTAAATTGAGAAACTGAACTTTGCTGATCATCCTCACTGGCCTAAAATACAGATGGGGAATTTAGGGACATGGGTGTCTTACACCCCATAGTGGGAATCTGGAGAGATGGCTCCACTGGGACGTATCCCCAGGCCTCACGAGGAGGAGGTGTGAGTTAGCCTGTTTATCTCGGGGCACGGAGAATTCTCAGCTAGGGAAATGGCTTGTTCTCGTGGGAGCTCCTTGCCTCCCTCCTGCTCCCCTGCTCCCCCGTCTGCAAGCCTCTGGCATCCCGCCAGCCCTCGCCACCCACACAGGTAGTGAGACCAAGGGTCACTCACCAGGATGGGCCCCACTTCCGCAGAGATACAGGCCCTGGAGAGGGCTGCGGTAGCTGGAGTGCAGGGGCACAGGGCGGGCAAAATACAGCTGGTCCAGGGCCATGGCACAGTGGAATACGTTCTGTGGGAGGCAGGGCCACAGCCGTTAACACAGGAGTGTTACAGTCCCCACCGCCTTCCCCTCCCCTGCTCTCCAAGGAAGGTTCTTCTTCCAGGATGTTTTCTCGGGGTCTTATGACACAAAATGAGGAGGGGGAGAGACAGAGTAGGCACACGTCCTAGGGCTGGGGGTGAAGTTTCCTAGAGGCATTTTTCAAGAAGGAAGAAGGGTAGGGAGCGTCTTCAGAGTGTGAGGAAACTGAATGGGGAAGAAAAGGGAGATTTTAAAGATTTTGCTGTGGACTACGAATCCCCCTCTCTCTGTTTGAAAAACAGAGGAATTTGATTTATTTTGGCTGCTGGCAACATGCTTCTTTGGCCAAGATAGCAATCTGAGCCTGGGCCCTGGGGGTCCAACCTCCTGCATGGTCACAGTAAATGGCAGACAAGGACACTGGGACTTGAGCTCAGTTCTGCTCCACTGGCCTAGGTCAGACCAGCCGAGGAGGGAGGCGGTGTGGGGTCGGGGAAGGATGCACCTGAAGGGCAGGTCTGGACAAGGAGACCAACATCTGCTGGATGTCACCATGGGGATGGCCACTGGCTGCCCCTCATCATGTCCCAAACTGAGCTCGCCCTCTTCCTTCAAGTCTGCTCCTCTCCCGTCTTCCCTGCCTCTCCTCCCCATCCTCTGCCTCCAGGCAGTTGCTTTACATCACCTCTACCCAACCTCTGCACTCACAGCATTACTGGGACCTCTCAGTCTGCGGCCCCAAGCTTCCTCCTTTGTCCTTTCCCTTCACTTCCCACTGCCTGGCCTCCTCCCTCTCTATCTGGCCCAGCGGCTGCCCAATACAAATATAACAGGAGCCACATAGTAATTTTAGATTTCCTAGTAATCATATTCAAACTTAAAAAGAAACTGGTGACATTAATGTCAATAATCTATTGAATTTAACCCAGTAGATCCAAAATATTATCACTTCAACATGTGATCGGTATAAAAATTATTGGTGAGACATGTTACATTTTTTTATAGTCAGTCTTTGCCACCTGGGGTGCATTTTATACCTGAAGCACATCTCATCCCACCTGGCTGCACTGAAACCATCAATAATCACACGAAGCTAGAGGCTGCTGTACTGGACTTGGCCCCCTCTCCTGTCCCCCTGCCTCCAGGCTCAGTGAGTTTTTGACAAGTCAGAGAGAAGTCGGAGGCCATGCTGCCTTAGGGAACAGGTCCCTCTGAAGAAAGCCAGATGGGAAAGGCTGACATGGACATTTGGGCAGAAGGGCCACAGTCCTGGCGGTCTGCTCAGCGGCGCTCCCTCTCCTGACCGTGCCTCCTCACCCCCCTCCCCACTCCCTAGATCTGACCACTCCTCCGCCCTCCCTGCTGTGGTCTCTGCCACTGTCCTCTCTTCCCCAGGAGGCTGAGTGTGACTAGATAAAGCTGAACGGGCCTGCCAGGGAAGGGATGCAGGGAAAAGGTGATGAGAGACCCCCCAGTCCTACACTCACCCCTCCAGGAAGCCCAAAGATTCTCTCCAAATCAGGGGGTGTGAGGACATCTCTGCCCACCACAGAGTCCTTGAAGCCAGGCGCGTAGGCCTCGATGCAATCAAACACTGGGTGCCAAACACAGTGAAACGAGAGGATGTTCAGAGGAAGAGCAGGAGGCATTACAATTGTGCAAGTTGGCAAATTTATGAAAATTCATTAAACTCTACACTTAGAAGGGTTTTTTTCACATGCAAATTAATTCTCAATAAGCAAAACCCAGGAACAGTCCATAGCAAATTATTTATTTGCTACAAAGGCCTATGGATCTCGGGCTAGTCCAGCCTCCCACTCTTTCCCACCTTTTTACTCCAGCCCTAAACACAGACTTATCCTTGAATATGCAAAGATTTCTCCACCTCATTGCTCTGATCAAGTTATTTCTTTTGCTTGGAATGCCCTTTGATGCCTGGCTGACTCATCCTTTAAAACCCAGCTCAAATTGTCCCCTCCTTTGGAAAGCTCTCCTTGTCTCTCTGGCTTCCTCCTTTGGTTCACACAGTCCGTTGAATTGGAAGACTGGCTTATTAGTCTCCCCCACGGGACCCTGAGTAACTTGAGGGCAAGAATTGTGTCTTTTTGGCTTTCTTAGCCCAGTGCCTGATCCCCACACACTCGTGTTGACTGAGGTTTCCCCGGGCATGCCTCACCCCCTGGCACAGGTGTGAATCCTGAGTGGGGTAGTCAGGAGGAGAGGGGTCCATCGGGGTGCACGGCCAGCTATCACTGTGGAGACAGGACAGTCCAGCCCTCTTTACCTCTGTCTGCGTAAGCATTTCTCTCCAGCTCGTCCCAGGCCTTGCCTCCAGCCAGTGTGTAGGGAGTGTATTGAGTGAAGAGGGAGATGACGTGGCAGCCGGGGGGAGCCAGGGTGGGGTCCAGCGAGGAAGGGATGCAGAGCTCAATTATAGGTCTGCATGCAACACAGGAGGGGAGAGGGTTGGGCCTGCTGGAGGAAGGGGCTAGGGAGCTGCTCCGAGATGAGAGGGCACCAGGGCTGGGCTGCTGATCTCTGTGAGGTGGCCTTTGCCTGCAAGGACTCAGGAACCACCAGGACCACCAGGACCATCCAGACCACCATGGGGTGTCCCTCATCCCTAGGCCCTGGTCCCTGCCAGACCTCCAGGACCCGGCTCTCTCATCCCGCCGCGGCCCCCCTGTGAACGTGCAGCTTGTCCCTGTTGCCCCCACCACACCCCCAACGCTCCAACCAGGGGCTCCAATGTCTCCAGGGACCCCCACCTGTGTGAAGGCAGGCCATCCATGGCGTCTTCATAGGCCCGATGGAGAAGGAGGGTGTCCTCACAGTTGAGGTGGATGGTACACTGGTGATGGGGCAGTGGCTGGCCCCCGGGAGTATTGGGGGCTGCCAGGAAGTCAGGCAGCCTGTTAACAGCCACTGAGGGATCAAAGAGGAGGGTCAGGGCCCAAAGGCCTGTGTCCTCAGTCCCCCAGGATCCTCCTTCTCTACCCACCACCTGCTTACCCACATGGTCGACTTGGAAGAAAAAGTACAAGAAAGTGTTTCACCTTCAAACTAGGGGGCAGGCTGGCAGTCAGGGACTAGAGCTGACAACGTAGGTGAGTCTTTCCCAGACCGGGAGATTTCTCACTCAGATAACATAGGGAGAGACTGCTCTGACATCTGTGAGTCTCCTACCGTTGATCTTGGTAGCAGGTGACTGGATGTCCAGCTGGGAGATTCTCTGCACAAACTCCTCAGGAAGCCACTCCTAGAAGGAGAAGTTTCCATTCTGGGGTGGCCGAGGCCCCAAAGGAGCTGCCTTCCTCCTTTGCTGAGGCTGGTCCCTCTACTGCCGAAGATCCTCTCCCTCCCTCAGAGCTCAGCTAAACCACCTCCTCTGGGAAGCCCTCCTGGACCATTCCCACTCAGCGCTAACCATTCCGTCCTTTACTCTCTGCTTGCAGTCCTGACTGTAAACAGCCCACTCCAGCTCCTGCTATGGATATGGCCAGTGAGCTGCAGCCTCTTTCTCCTCTGATCTGCAAGCTCTTGGAAGTCTTGATGGTCTCAAAATTGTCTAAAGACTCTTTGAATTGATGTTTACTGAATTTTATTAATGGAATCACTTGGAAAAAGTGGTGCCTTGTCTCCAAGAATGACTGGGAGCTACTTGCCCATACACTATTGTCATATCTTTGGGGGACAGGGAAGGTGTGCTCAATTGCAAAATTGCCCCCAATCCCCAGCCCTCCCTGTATGCACACCCCTTTTTAATGCCCTTGCACTGCGACTCAGAGCTTGGCCATGAGACAGGGCTACTGCTGGCAAATGGGTTTCAAAGAGAAGCCTGGAAAGCACTTGCACGATTGAGTTTGCTCACTGTCGCCCTCCACCAGACCCTGAGAACACGCTCGGACTAATGTGCTGGAGGACGAGAGACACAGGGAGCAGAGCTGTCAGCTCCCAGTTCTTCTGCCCGCCCCCTGTGAATTTGTGGTCACTTCCCCACCCTGGGCTGAGGCTTCACCGAGGGGTGTGAGGAAGCTGTGAGTAGGAGCAACACCTTTAGACAGAGGTCCCCATCATCCTGAGACCACCCTGGGCTCGCCACGGCCAACAGAGCCCAGGCACACACACTAGGTCAGCCAAGGTCAGCAAGGCCCACTAGTGACCCACAGCTGACAGAAGATGCAGGTGAGTGAGCCCAGATCCCAGATCGGCCGGACTCAGCCAAGATCAACTAATTTACCCTACTTCGTGTGCTAACTCAGTATTTTTTGTTAGATGCCCAGAAGCTGTGTGGTTGTTATGCAACATTCATATGGCGATGGCTAATGGACACAAACGGTGAGGGTAGAGCTGGCTAGGAGGGAGAAGTCAGGGTGGTAGGAAAGTTGTAGAAATAACTCCAGTTGAAAGTCAGACTGGGGTTCTAGCTCTGGTTCTGCCAATCGCCAGCTGCCTGGCCTAAGTCACCTCACCTCCCTGGATCTTTCCCTTCACTTGTGAGGCGTCTTCCCTGTGGGCTACCTGCCTGTTAGGTAAGGAGAGAAGGACAGGCTTCCCACGTGCAGAGACCTGGCACCTGCACCTCCTACCCTGATGCAGCCCCGGTTCCCTTGATCCCCCAAGTTCCAAGCCCCACGTTGCAGACATTTCTCCCCCTCCCCAGGTCTCACCTGTGGCGTCAGCTTCAGGAAGGTGGTCTGCGGCGATGCGTTGGACAGCACCACTCTGCTCCTCACCTCTGAGCCGTCCTGCAGCACGACTCCTTGAACGCGCCCTCCATGGCTCACCTGCACCTTGGCCACTGTCTGGAGCCCATGGGAAAGAGGCCAGGACCACAGGAAGGGAAGTGCAGGTTGGTCTTGGAGGACTTCTGCTGTCTGTGTTTCTCCTACTCACAGCTTCCTCATCCTGAATCCCCCCAGCCGAGCTCTGCTGCCCTTTGGTGAAGCTTCAGCCCAGGTGTGTGTGTGTGGGTGGGGGGTGACCGCGAATTCAAAGGGGGTGGGCAGAAGAACTGGGAACTGGTTGACAGCTGCTTGGCCACTAACAGGCTGCAAAGCCGGAGACCTTTGATTCTGAGCCCCGCCTTGACCATCAGTAAAACAAAGGACCCTCTGAATCCAAGATTCTGTTCTATTGTAGGATCATTGCCAAAAACAGGGTGAGGGTAGAGGGGCCATTCACCTTTTCGGTGAAGATGCTCGCTCCGTGCTCAGTGGCTGAGCTTGCAATGGCATCAGAGAGGGCACCCATGCCACCCTGGACGTAGCCCCAGGCTCCCTGCATCCCCTCCAGACCCCCCATCACGTGATGGAGCAGCACATACCTGAGGACGAATCATCAGAATCAGTGGCTGCAGGATGGATTTACTCTCCCTGGAGTTCTAGGAGCAAATGTTCCCTCCCATCTGGTACCTTCAGCCTCTCCCTGCCCCACTCCGGCTATGTCCCACTAGCCTTTAAGTGAGCCCAAGACTCCTGTAAGAGCCCTTCACCTCCCATTCTATATTCTCTCCCCATGTAAACATCTAGGGGTTGGTTAGAGCTTTGGTTCCAACAATGTGGCGGCAACGCCTGAACCGGCATCTCCAGCTCTCTCCTGAGCTTGAGCCTGTGTGCCAGCTACCCACAGATATCTCCACTGGCACAGTTTTTGGCAGTCATCTTAAACCCATCCCGTTTCCCCGATTCCCTAACCTGTTTCTCCGTCAGTCTTCTCCACCCCAGTGAATGACACCTTCAGTTTCCAACAGAAACCTGGGTGTCAGTCTTGCCTCCTGCTAGCCCCTCGCTGCCACATCCAATCAAGTGCCTCCCAAAGAACATTCCCAGGCTCAGTCCCTGCTGCCTCCTCCCTGGCCCAGGCCACTCTGTGCTCCTCCTTAAACTTCTATAGCAACATCCTCCTAACTGGACCACCTTCTCCCACTCTTCCTTCCCTGCCGACCTTTCTCCACATAGAACCCAGAGACCAGCCTCAAAACCCAGCTGTGCTCCTGTCACTTGGCTCCTTTCAAGCCTTCACTGGCTCTCCGACGCTCTGAGGGTGATGGCCAGTCTCCACAAATGGCCCCCAGGGGTCCTGCCAGCTCATCAGCCCCATCCCTCACCACGGCCCCCAGCCCCAGCACTCCTACCAAACCACACCTCTCTCCGTGCCTTGAATGGACCACACGGTCCACCCACAGCTCCTACATTTGCACAGGCTGCTCCAGCAGCCTAGAAGCTCCTTCCTCCTTCACCCTTTGTTTAGCTAATTCCTCCTGTCCTTAGAGTCTCAGATTAAACATCTCTTCCTCATGGGGGGCTTCTCTGAGCCTGGACCACATGGTCCCCCTGCCTTATTTTCCTATCCTCACACTCACAGCCCTCCACTCCCACCGCTCACTCTGTGTCTGCCTCTCCCAGCAGGACTTCCGCTCCATTCTCGACCGTCTCCCTAGCACCTGGCACAGATGAGTGCTCCACTAGTATTTATTGAAAGAATTAATGAAAAAACAAATGACTTAGAGGCCCATCTCACAAACTGGGCAGTAGCTAAGCCTTCCGGACACTCACAGAGAAAGGGACAGGAGGCCCCAGCTGGAAGATCCAGATTGGCTGTTTGATCACAAGAGCTTGGCCAAGGTGTCACAACGGCTGCCAACACCCCCTTTCCCTTTGCCCTGGGGAATCTGGGGCTGCTTAGTGTGTGTTGAAAAACCACTTCCCAGGGTGTTCTTATCCCTTGAGAGTAAAGCCACACTGGCAGCTCCTAGATGCATCTTCCGGTGCACTGGAAATGGCCCAAGACCTGGCAGCATACTCTGTCCCCGCCACACACACACACACACACACACACACACACACACACACCTCCATTTCTGCTCCTACAGGGGCTCATTAAATAGTCCCACAACGACAGCCTTCACTGTGTCTGACTGCCCCCTCTCGGATGAGGCTGTCAGCACACCCCCGACTCACAACAGGAAGGGCGGCTTCCCACCCACAAGAAGGTGTCTGTGTGTGCGGGTCCTGGAATTCGGGAAAGGATCTATGCAAGAGGGAGGGGCAACAGGGCCCCTGTGGGAAGGGAAGAGATAGATAGATAGATAGATAGATAGATAGATAGATAGATAGATAGATAGATGACAGAGTTGAGATGTCACAGTGGGAGGCAGAAGAGAGGCTCCTCTACTGAAGCAGCAGGGAGGAGCGGCTAAGAAGGGAGAATATGGGGTGTCAGACAGCTCAGGCTGCAAATCGGCTCTGCCACTTACTAGCTGTGGGACTTCGGGGAGATACTTCCCTTCTCCGAACTGCAGCTCTCCGTGTTGCTTTGAGGGTTCAAGGAATCCTGGGTGAAGTGCCTGGCTCCTGCCTGACTCACTGGGTGAGCTCAATGTATGACAGCCATCGCTCTTGGCGGGGGATCGGCCCCACCTTGCATCCCACACTCACCCACTCCCCGGAATGCGGGGACTTGTCATGGCTCCAATCACGCCATCCGTTGCCAGAGTGGCTTTTAGCGGCTCGGACTCAAACCACTGATCCAGCACCTGGACAGCAAAATGGCAAGGAGAAGGGCTTACCTTGGGAGGAGAGGCTGCCACACTGTGAGTTCCTGCCTGCGTCCGGGGAGCCCCTCACCTTGGCAATGGGAGCTGTGAGGACCTGGTAATACTGGGGCAGCCGGGCTCCCACTATGCGGCCTAAAAGAGGAGATCCACAAAACATAAACTGAGACAGGCAAGAAGGGAATACGCTGATCTGTAATGTTTCTGCATCAGTTTCTTTATCTGTAAAATGGGAGTAATATTTTGTACTCTCAAGGGCTATTGTGAGGATTAAACAAGTTATATAAAACATCTGCAAGTCCACAGGCACTTTATACATTTTAGCTGTTAGAATTATTTGGGGGAAATTTAAAATTTGTATCTTGATCCCTTACTTTGAACTTTGTGAGGCCCCCTACCCTGGGATGCCATGGCTTGGCTAATCCATTCCTCTGATAAAGATTCAAACTATCTCAGAGAGTAACTAGGCACTAGGACCTTGAAGGCAGGGATCGTGATCTCTAGGCATTGTAGCCCCAGTGCCTAGCTTAGTGTTCGGCACATAGCAGTTGCTCAATAAATGTTTACTACATGAATGTTTATTGCATGAAGCTCCTTGGACTGGTAATCTGAGAGGCAGTGCCTACTTTGGGCATTTGTGATAGATTCTACTGGCTCTGATCCTTCACCCGTCGCCGTGTCTACACGCTTTGCCATGTAACTCTGCACTGCCTCCCACCCTAGCTGAGGGGACCTGCCCTGCTCCTTGATTCTGGGCTCATCCGTGTGATTTGCTTGGCCAGTAGAACATTTGCAGCTGTGATACAAACAGAAGCTTGAAACTGGTCAGAAACTTGATACTGGCTGGCACCTCGGGTCTTGCCCTCTGTGCTCTGCCACTGACGTAAGAAGGCCAGGGCAGGACTAGCCTGCAGCTTCTGAGAAGAGGACGAGAGGCACCTGGAGAAGAGCTGCTCCAGCCACAAATACATGCATGAGACCAGACCACATCAGCTGAGCCCAGCTGAACCATGCAGACACATGAGAAACAAATGGATATTTTTAAGCCACTGGAGTTTTGTAGTTCGTTATGGAGCAATTTTGTGATCACAGCTAACTGATTCAGTATTTTTCTAGAATATAGAAGCTAAACTGGTCTTTGTCCCCTAGAGGAGTGCTAGAAAATAATAGCAGGCTTGGTGAGGCTTCCCTTCTCATGCCCAGGGCAGACATCACTAATTCATCACAGATTTTTTTTTCTTGCTGAGCCTAAATCTGGCATCCTTCTTGTATGGGGGCATCTCTCCAAACTCTCTGGCCACTATCTCTTATTCCAGCCATGGCTATGGTGACGAGCCCCATGCAGGCTCGGGTCAGCATCACACAGTGCAACCTGACAGCAGCTCGCCTCCGACCTGGAAGATGTGCCCCTTCATTTCTTCCCTGGGGCTTCTCTGGCACCATGACAGGACACCCACGGGAACCCACCTGGCCCCACAGATGCACAACCCAGAAGTTAATGCCCATGGGGAATTGTTACCCCACACGACAACTTCTGACCACTGGGGCACAGAGCCCAGTGGGTAAATGTTGCCCCTGTCTTCTCTTGGGACTGGTTCTCACAGGCATTTTGTAAGTGGTGCCCTGCTCAGTAACACACCCTGGTGTTGACTTACCCTCTTTCCAGATTCTCCTCCTTTCTCTGGGATCCCCCTTCAGAATTAACCACTTGTACAGAAGCCCTGGTCCCAGGCTCTATTCTTAGCCATGCCAGGCTAAGACCTTCTCGCTTAAAGTGCTCCAGGTGGCCCCTATTAATTGATGGCAGTGGGCAGGCTGCAGTGGAGTCTCAGGCTTAGTCCAGCCATTGAGAAAATGGGCACAGCCACGTGAAGGCCCTCACATGCCCCAGTGCCTGCTCTGGGACTTACCCGCCTGCAACAGGGGCTTGAGAGTGGAGAGCGACTTGAGCCTCTGGAGCAGGGAGCCCCGCCAGAAGGCTTCCACATCCGCTGGGGCTGCGTCCAGCAGAGGGTCAATGGCTAATGCCAAGCGACTCATGAATGCTTCATATTTGGGAAAGGCCTGGAAGAGAGCTCTGAGTCAGGGCCCTTCTGCCCCCGTGCTCTGCCCCCCATGCCACCCCACATGGCCTGCTGCCTCTCAGCTGAGCTTTGATGGTTCCTCCGGCTTCAGGCTCACACGTGGCTCAGCCTGGCTGTGCTGAGTTACTCCTGGGTCTAGGTCCACGCACAGATGTCCACCCTCAGGGAGGTCAGAGAGGGCGTGGGTGGGAGGGGAGCCACCAGGTGGTAGCAGGGACGAGGAGTTAATGCTGGTCGAGACTAGTCACCATGGAAAACTGGCAAGTATCCTAGGATGGGGCTGCCGTAGTAAAACAAAAACCATTGAAAAGTTTCTTCTCTCTGTCTTGTCTTTCTATACATTCCTGGTAGAAGTTAAGATCTCTTTCTCTGTATTCTAATACGTTGATGGTCCTTTCCTGGTCTGCAAGTCTCCCACGTCCTCCCGTCATCAGCAGAATCAGAAACTTGCCTACCTTCACCCCTCAATCTCCCTCTAGAGAATCCATTTCAACATGCTGGTTACCACCCCACCCCCACCCCTGGATGGCGACTAAGGACTAAGGAGCAGCGATGGATGACTCTGCTATCTGAGGTCCTCCCTTAATTCTCAGCCCCGAGTTTTTAATGTTTGATTCATCTAGACTCCTGGATATACTTGTGGAATTTTACCTGTTACATAAAGAAAAGTTCAGTACTAAGGTACACTGGAGAAGCCTTGATAAAAATGAAGTTAAACAGCTTTCTCTGCAGCAGGCCTTTAATGTGACAATGTGCAAAGATAAAACCAGAATTCAGGTTCCTTACTTTCCATGGGACGTGGCCTCTGCCTCGTGTTCCTGTGGTCACAGCACGCATGGCCATAGCCACTGTCCTATAGGCCCAGGGACCTGACCTTGACCTAAATCCTCTCTGGTATGTCTGAGATGAATAGCATTGGGAGGAGAGGCTGTAGGCAGTGAACCCCAACCTACTGCACGAAAGAATCACTTGAGGGGCACTTAAGAAAAAAACAAAAGCAAAGCTCCCCAAGTGGTCTGATCATCAGAGATGATGATCAGAGAGATGCTGTGTGCCTGGGGGTCTCTGGTTTTACCCAGCACTAGATCAGCACAACAAAAAGCAAAGCACGTGGATTGTATTAACCCAGGTTCTTCCTGTAAAATTGTCTCCACGAAGATATGAGTTAATGCTATGCCTTTAGCTTGTATCTAAGCTGGGTACAAAATAAATGGCAACTCAAAAAATCTTTTTATATCTGCAAAACCAATCACACCAGCCCTGCTACATTCAATGACTCATCTAGACAATGCTACCCAACACATTCCTTCCAATGCGATTCCAAGAAAAAAAAATGTGCCTTCTCCATCAGATGTGTGCACTTCCTTTCATGAGACCTGCACGCCTTTTTGGACACACTCTTGCCTTGGGCTGCCAGGGGATGACGCCAAAGGGAATGAGTATTATTACAACTCTCTTGCCCTAAATTCCTGATTCAGTCTATTCTATCCTTAATTGTCTCTGATTCTCCCTTCATCCTTTTTTGGCCTTCATGTGCTTTAATATTGATAACTACCTGGCATTCTGTCTGAAAGCAGGAGAGGTAAAAAGCACAGACAGTATAAGGACATGTTGGTGGATTCCCCCTTTGAAATTCAGCAGGTGGAGGCCACCGGAACAGTGGCCTCATACTGAATACACCCATGTTTGAAAGTCTCCAGTGCCCACTGGTCTCCATCACTGTCCTCCGTCCCTTCCTGTTGGCAGCGCCCAAAATCAAAGGCTTGCACTGGGCCCTCTTAAGGCAAGTCGGGTGGCCTGTCCAAGCTCCTGTGGCCTCTGGACAACCAGCTCCAGGACAACTCCAACCAAAACCACCTCCTTTCCAGAGTGGCCTCCAGGCTGAGACAGAGGAGGAAATCAGTCTCCAGTCACTTTCCCTACCTCGGCATCCTTTCGGGAGAACTGGGCGATCTGCTTCTGGTTTTCTGCCATGTCTGTGCCCAGCAGAAGGGACCTGGGCACCTTGCTCCCGGCATTCTCTTCCAGCATCGGGGTGAAGGAGTGGGGGTTTCGAAGATGAAGCCTCAGCCCATGTTTCTGCAGAACAGACAGCACAGGTAACATTCGAAGGGATCTGCCCTTGACCCTTCTCTGCCTGTGTTTGTGTGAGCACTCAGGTACTGCAGACAGGTTCCCAAGGCATGTGGTCCTGGCTCCTATTTTTGATATAAGAGTATAACCCAGGCCCCCTACAGCAGAGCTTACCACACCATGTGGTGCTATCCAGTGCTGGGACTGTACCAGAGTTTACAATGGTTACATCACAATGGCTCTGTAAATATATCATCCTCATTGTGCAGATGCAACAACAGAAGCTCAGAGAAGTGAAATAATTCGTCCAAAGTCACATGGGGAAGTGGATTCTGGTTTCAAAGCCACATCCCTGTGACTCCAAAGCCCTGACCCTCAGTGCTAGTCTGTAACTGCCCTCATTTCAGAAGTAAGTCATTAAAATTTAGAAAGACACAACAAAATCACAGTTATGTGAAAATCCATACCTACAAGGCAGATGAATTATTCACCTCAGAAAAGTTTTATTTACTTTGCAGACTCATTTGCTCCAGGGCCACTTTAAGTGGAAGTTCCGCTGAGGCGTTTAACACACGATTTGATTCACGAATACTTGACGAGTGCACCGCCTGTTCCAAGAGCACATCCACTTCGTCAAAGAAGGTGGAGGTAAAACAAGAGGAGCCTGTGCTGCCCCCCAAGTAAGACTGGCTGTTCCCACTGGAGACTTTCTTTTTCTTAAACCACTTTATCAAAGCCTGACTGACATACAAAGTGCTGTACGTGTTTAATACATGCAACTTGATGTATTTGGCCTCTAAAGACTTCTTTCCCCAGACACCTGGCCCACTTCCTCACCTCTCTGAGGTCTTTGCTCAAATGTCGCCTGAGAAGCAAGCGCCCTCCACACCCCCAGCTGCCTGCCCCCTCTCAAAAGTGCTTTATTTCTTTATTTCTGCTTTATTTCTCCCAAAAGCTCTTATCACCCCCTGGCTCGTTGCGAGCTGCATCTTTCTCCGTCTCCCCAGGTGGACTGTAAGCTCTACGCGCTCAGAAGCACAGTCTCCTTACTCAGCGCTGTATCCCCAACATCTAGAAATGGTACTGTCAGTACCTAGTCTGTTGGCTGCATAAATGAATGCCATGTCATAGACAAGATACCATCCCAGAGGACAGAAGTGAGACCTGTGAGCGGAAGTTTTAGGAAAACCTGAGGAAACCAAAAGAGACTTGTCCAGTAATTACAACAGAAGCTTCCCTGAACCACAGAAGTTCCTGATGGCAGGACCACCACGGCTGACTAGTCTGCGGAGGTGAGTCTGAATGCTGGTGGGGGCCGGGGCCGGGACACCTGCAGGAGCCTCTCTAGCACTGAGAGGGGAAGTTTCTTTGATTCCAAATTAGAGGAATGTCAGCTTGGTTCCTCTTAACACAGTGAACTCTTTATCACCCGGGAGATATCCTCAGTTCCTCTTTGTCTCTCACCCTTGGCATCCCAACTGTCACCAAGCCTCACAGCTCAGCCTCCAGAACTTGTCCATGTCCCCTCATCTCCACTGCCCTGACTCAGCCCAAGCCACCATCTTGTCAACCACCCTGCAACCAAGGCTGCTTCCACCACAGTCCACACCACCCAGCAGGTGGATTGACCTTATTAATTTCAAACTTTCAACTTAGGGCAACACTGGCGCTGAAGTGCTGTCAGCTTTGTGTACAGCTAGCACAGGGGACCCTTTTCTCCGAGGGGTGGTGACAGAGGCCCCGAGCAGGTAAGCTGAGTGGGCTTCAGGAATGCGTGACCGCGTTGGCTGGTCAGAGAGGCAGGGAGGGTGAAAGGGGACAGAGCAGGCAAGACTGGAGACCAAGGTGGAGCTAAGAGGAGTAGATGAGGGCAGACTGTGAGTTCACGGGATGCCCTCAAAGTGAACCAGGAGCCTGAAGACATGAAAGACGCCGAGTCCGATTCCTTTTCAAGCTGCCGAGGACGGCGACAGGCTGTCAAGGGTGATGAGGGCAGAAATTGGGTTCCGGGTCCTGAGGCAGCTTTGTAAGCTCTGATGCCTTAGGGTCCTGGCAGGCTTCCTGTGGGGCCCAAAGAGGACCCCGGAAGTGATGGGGCAAGACAGAACTAGGATCCCGCCAACCCATATAAGGTGCCAGCCCGTGCAGGTGTGTGGTAACATGGGCCTGATGTTGACAACGCTTGTTCTTGGAGAAGTCTGATTTGTATGTGAAATTTCCCCATTTTTAAGACACTGGGTGCAGACAAAGGCAGTCTGTGAGCAGGCACCAAGGAGACCACGGGGAATAGACACACCCTCCAAGGGGAGAACAGCAGCTGTCCACCCTCCCAAGCCCCCAGACGATGGAGCAGGCGGACACACACACACATACACACACTGAACCTTCAGCTCCAGCTCAGTGTAAATCTGCGGCCGCAGCAGGCTGAGGAGGTAGGATGCTCGGGAAAACTTAAATCCTGAAAACAAATGGGACAAAGACACTCAGCAGCGGTCACCAGTGGTCATCCCCCATGCCCCTCACCCCACCTCTGAGGCTCACCTGGGATTATCTCCTCGGTGACAGCCGCACCTCCGATCACGTGGCGTCTCTCGAACACAGCTGTGTTCACCCCCAGTCTCTGCAGGTAGGCCGCCTGGGGTGGGGGGCAGACAGGACCGTCCCTTTATCCCTGGAGGCCGACCCGCCGCTCAGAATCCTCGCCACCGGGCTGGCACAAGCTGTTTCTGCCTCTGAGATGCGGTTCCCCTCACTCCCCCGTAAATTCCCACTGCCCCAGACCTCCTCTAAGGCCTGCATGACTGCTCCTGCCCCCGCACCTCCCAGCGGAGAGTGACCTTCCCTCCTGCAAGGCCTGGTGCCTCTGTGAAGTCACGCCACCGCCGTCTCCAGGGTTCGCCCTCCACATACGCCCGAGGCGGCCCCAGGAGCCAGCCTTGTGAGTGCTGAGCCCCACCTCCCGGTTCTGCTCCCCTTCTCTCTTTCTGCTGGGGCGGCCCCAGGACCTAATCCATCTGGCCTCAGTTCCCTCATGTGTAAAAACGGTGCTGCCGCTGATAACACTCACTATGCCTGCTTCTTGGGGCTGCTGTGGGGACGCTCTGAGCTGGTCCCTAGAAGGGGCTTACACAGGGCCCCTGGCACGGAGGACGTGCTCCATCAGTGGAGCTATGATTATAACACAGCTTTATTTGGGGGAACAAATGATGCAGGGGTTTTTATTCATTTTTCTCTAGCTCTAGTGGGAAATCAATAAATACTTGTTGAACTGAACTAGTCCTGAGTCTACAGACCTAAAATGCTGATCGTCCCACCACTATCACCAAGGTGACAAGTGGGATGGTGTAACTCAGAAGGAAATTTTAAAAAGCTCATTTGGCGACTACTGTGTGCCAGACACTGTGCAGCCATCATCTCATACAGTCCACCCATCACCCTAGAGGAGGGCACAGTGAGTCTCCCCATTTCCTAGATGATGAAACCAAGGCTCAGTGAGGCTAACAGCTCAGGATCCCAGAGCTGATGAGTAGAGGTGTCAGGAACTGAACCCAGGCAGTCTGGGCCCAGAACCTACACTCCTGACACATCCTAGTAAGAAAGGAAAAAGAGCAGCCCTGACATGACATTTGGAAGCTGGCCTGGCCTTCAGAGGCAAGTCGGGTTTCTCCTATTAGATGTGAACAATCTCAGAATGACGACCTCAGACAAGGGCAGTCTGAGACCACGGCAAAACGAGGCAGAGCAAGCCCACCTGCAATTTTGTCCAGACACAAGTGAAGACACGGTCTCTGGGCCGCCACAAAATACCAAACGCCCCTTCTCTGGACCGAGATGCGTGATGGCCACTCTGCACGGTGACCGCTCTCCTCGCGCATGGTTTATAGAGAAGCCCAGTCACAGGACTGCCCCCTCTACCGGAGCGTATCCAATCTAGAGCAAAGCCCGACTTCCTCAGGCTCTCCCCGAACCACCCAACCAGAAAGCACGTCCTAGAACGGGTTCTTCCTGACACCTTCCTATTCTGGGAGGCCCCGCAGTTCCCCATGGTGCGCACTCTCCCCACCCAGCTGGAGGAACGGCAGGGCTGTGCCTGGGTGTGCCCAGGACCTGGGACAACAGGTCACCCGCTGTGTAAGGCTTTAGGAGCCAGGCCCTTGGGGCACATCACGTATCGACTCCCTTCACCACAGTTCTGTGAAGTGTGCACTTTTATTCTCACTTTACTGTGGCTCAGAAAGATTAAATGAGTCGCCTTAACCTTCACAGATGGAAAGTGGCCGAGCTGGGAGACAAACCCAGGTTTGTATTAATATAAAATCAATGTTTTAAATCATTGACCAGTTAAATAGTGTCCCGTGTGAAAGGTTCAAGTAACACTGATATGACAGGGAAAGTATTAAGACCAACACAAGGCAGGAGGGTATAGCTCAAGTGGTAGAGTGCATGCTCAGCATCATGAGGTCCTGGGTTCAATCCCCAGTACCTCCTTTTAGAAAGTAAATAAGTAAACCTAATCACCTCCCCTCCCAAAAAAGAAAAAAGACCCAGCACAAGTCTCACAGCTCCCCTACAATGCTAAGTCCCTGCATTGCTGTTCTAGAGCCACCCCTGCTTCAGGAAGATGTTCCCTGCTTGTCCTGCGGCCTGAATGCCCTCTAGCACACACTACGGCCTCCTAGGAGTACGCAGACCCAGGTTTGAGAAGCACAGCCTGCGGGTAACCCTGGCCCAGCTCAGCTGTGCGGTCAGAGTGCCCCCAGCTCCAGTTACCTGATCCCCAGGCTCCAACCTGCCTCCCAGGCTATGCCCATTACGCGCTTTCCAAGCTATTTATCATCTCGCTTTTGAACGCTCCATGACTCTCCCAAGGTCATGGGGGAAATCCATGAGCATTAAGGAGAGGAAAGGCCGGGGGCACCTGATTTCCCCCTTAATGACTGCAGAGTCCATTCGAGCCAGCACCAGGGCGAGAGGACTAGCTGGCTTTTCCTTCTCCCCTGTGGCCCTCATCCTGCCGGCTTCCTTACACTGCTGAGAGCCACACACCCAGGGGCCAGTGAAGTGGGTGGGAGGGGGAGGGACTCACAGCCACCAGCCCGTTGTGTCCTGCAACGAGACAGAGGGGAGGGGAGGAAAGCAACAGGGGTCAGTGGGCAGACACATTCCTTGAGGAGGGTGGCCATCCACCCCTGTCTCCACGCACGTGAGGTCCTAGAGAGCAGGCAGAACTTGGGGACCCTCTTGCCTGTACCTGGATTTTGGAACAGCATCTAGCTCGATGCCGTAAGACACCCAATTTGTTGGGAATCAGAAAACACTGATTCTTGCCCTGGATTGAAAACAGCCCTGTCACCTTGGCTTGGCCAGTGGCTGGTGCTGGAGTGGGGACAAGGAGAAATCCACAGTCATCAGATGGGAGGTATCCCACGAAGCCTCCGATTGCTGGGCTTCCATCACTTCCCTTGGGGATGAGCGGGTGACTGTCAGAGGGCGGGTGACAGGGACAGGGAGGAGCATGGCCGGTATCTGGATGCTGGGCATTCCTGGCTGGCATGGAATTACCAGCTGTCTAGTGAGTGCTGGTCACGTGGACGGAGCTGCCGAGCATGGCTTGTTTTGCCCAAGTGTGGTTCCCATCAGTGCCCCAGAAAGCTTTAGTCACATGGGGCATCTCTGTCAATTCCCAGGGTTCCCCAAATAAAATTGGAACAGTTCAAAATGAATTAAACACACCTGGCTTCAGTGGGCACTAGAGTAGCCAGGTGTGCTTCAGAGGTGCCAGCTTATTTGGCAGATTTGTCTGTATTATAAAGTTTCTTTCCAAAAATTTTAGGTGGGCTGCCCTTGGGGTAGGAGCCCTGAACTTGGCTTGGGATCCGGTTTCACACCAAGCCCTCTGCTAGCAAGTGCCTCTCCAGCTCTGAGAAGCTTCAGGACCACCTGAGAACTCATGTAAATGCTGATTCTCAGACCCCGCCCCAGAATCTACTTAGCAGGTTCTGGTCAGGGACCTGGAACCGACTTTTCACAAGCTCCAGGTCATCCTGATGCAGGTGGTCTCAGACTCACAGGCCGAGCATGTGGGCCCTTGGGTTGGGGCCGTCCCCCTTCCTTACTCTCAGGGTAAAAAGCAGTGGCGGGAGAAGCCCTTGTTTTCAGGGAGGGGGCCAGGCCTCGCCTGGGACACTTGGCACACGTTTCTCCTTGGTGACAGAGGGTCATTCTGAGTCGTCAAAGATGTCACGAGATATGTTTTCTGAGTGCCAACCTGAACCCAAATTGCCTTAAATAAAAGACTCAACCATTAATTTGACACAACATCCACAAACGAGAGGCGGCAATGACCCACGTGATGGATTTCTCATGGCTGAGTTGATTTTGTTTTCCGTTTTCCACATAGACTCCCAGAATTTTCGAGGTCATTGAGCCAATTTCTCATTCGTTAAAGGAACCTCTGAAATGGAGTGTTAAAAACCTCTTTGACCGTGATCCACAGGAAGAAATGCATTTCACTCTGTAACCTGGCACCCAAACCCCACCCCACCCCATATAAATGTGTTTCACAGAAACAAAAGTTTCAAGAGCTAATATTAAGTCATCATGTGATAAACATGTGATAATCTATTTGATTACATACTTCACTGAAAATACTGGTTGCCATAGTACTATTTTTAGGTGCTTTTGAAAATTTTCTTAAGAAAGTTTTAAAAAAAAGCAGGACAGGATTCATGAATGGACTGCAGCCTGAAGTTTGAAAAGCCCTGCTCCCAAACACATATGATACATTAAAGGCAGACGGTCCTGGGCTCGTCCTGGCTTCTGCATATGTAAAACACAGGGGCTGCTGGACCTGCACCGTTGCAGAGGGAGTAACCAGTAATACACGTAAAGAACCAATCCCTCAGCAGACCACAATACATGGCAGCTATTTGTCTTTTAATCAATGCTGATCATAAATCCTGGAAAACTAATAAAGGCTTCCAGGCAACAGGGTCCAGTTCAACGATCAGATATGAGCCCACAAATGAGCAAACAGACTTCAAATGACAAAGGGTGAGGATCCAACAGCCCAGGACACTTGACCATTTCCCACCCCTGGTCCCGGCTGAGCCCTCCTGTGGCCTCTGGTGACCTCTCCTTTCCCCCTGAAGGAGTCCTAAACTGAGGGCTCGGCTAATTTCCGGGCCTGACTGCAGGGTTCCTTAGGCAGCAGGCACGTGGGGCTCTGGAGAGAAGCTGCTTTGAATGTGGGTTCCTGAATGTGTCGGCTGCTACTCAAAGTGTTGGTTAGGTGTGCTGACCTCCTCTGAATCCCAGTCACCAGGGACGGGGCCCAGGAACTGTGTTTTAACAGGCTCCTTGGGTCATTCTTAGGCATATTCAGTCAAATGGCGAAATCACTGTCCTTTTCAAGGTGGCTTCCAGGTTACTGGTGTGACCTTGGGGAGTAGAGATAATTATTACCTTAGAAGGTGCCACCTGTCCTTCACGCAGGCCAGAAAAGCCTTCAAACCAGGCTTCCTGTTATGGTTAGCAATCTGAGAAGCAATGCCAAGGAAGAACTCATGCCCGAGACACCTACTTGTGGGCAATTCAACCGGACGTGAAGCTTGTCACGTCCTGACTGTTTTACTGTGTTTCCCCGCGGTCTATGCTGTCGCGGTTACTTATGGCTATGTACCCTTATGGGGTCCGTGCTGTGTGTTTCTCGCCCAAATTCACGTTCAGTGAGTGATGTCATGTTGGCAACTTGAAAATGGCCACAGTTTCAAGTGGTAACTTGAAAATACACACGATGGAAATTCGCGAACATTAACACCAGGGCTTGATTTATTACTTTTTTGGTTGTTACCCATAAGGAAGTGATGGAGAAAACACTAACAATGCAGATTAAGCTTTACAGCAGTCATGTCTGTAGCTGCCACGTTGTGAAATAGTGCAAAAAGTTGAGGAACGTTTCTCCCAGCATTCTAAAAATATTTGAGCGAAGCTTCCTGTCATTTAAGAAGTTCGGACATTAATCTTCGTTGTCTCACTTGCATTCTGCTCTTCAAAGTAAATGAAAATATCAAACAACATTCCTTTCGGAACTGTTCTCATTTGTCAATTGCAACCATAGGCTGGTTATTGAGTTTGGCAAAAATCACAGGAATTTGATACTGGGTTGGCTAACTGGAATTCGGAGTATTGTATATTTTATCTGTAAAATTGTGTGCCACACTTATTTCAGTATTTACAATAACCTTATGCATGGATACATATGCACACATTTTACCCTGGAGAGGTGACTGGTAAACATTTACCAGCACACGACTGCTCTTGGTATGTGTAAAGATGAGGAAATGCCCAAACAGGGACGCAGCTTTAAAGTTGTGTGACAAGCATGTTCTTCCAGTCCTGTCATTGTCTCTCCATAAAAACCCAGTTGGAAAAAATGTCACAAGTTGGAATTTGGGGCCCTTGGGTGTGAATGGAAGGCCCCGAGGAAAGGCAGCCCGATCCCAGTCTGCAGCCTCACACACTCGCGGGAGAGTCCGGGCTGCGTAGCCTGGCGCTCAGTAGCGGGTGGCGGCTCCCTGCAGCAGGTCCCGCATGCCCAGGTGTGCAGGACAATGCAGGGCTGTCACCCTCGGCGGACAAGCAGTAGGATCTCTGGGACTCATTTCTACTTTTTCCTAACTCCCTTTTATGTAACGACTGCGGTGTCCGTGGGGGCAGTCTCAGTGGTCAGGTGGTGGTGACCAGAATGCAGGGCACCCGGGGCAGCTGGATTTCCCAGATCTGTTGTCCCAGGGCTCTTTCTTTCCAACCTTTCTGGACCATATGCTTTCCAAGAAAGTGGTGGCAACCAGCTAATTTCACAGGAGATACATGGAAACCCCTGAGCTCATCTAGTCCTCCCTGATCAGTCTAGATGGGAAAATTCGAGCCCAGAGAGGGCAAAAATCTGTCCCAGGCCACACAGCAAGTCCACAGCAGAGCCAGCCCCAGAATGCCGGTGCCTGCTCACAAACACAGTGGGCTTTTCACATCAGCACCTGCTCTTGCCCCAACTCCTGGTCAGCTTGTGCCCAGAGCAGAGGAAGGGGAGGGGTGGGGGAGGGGGCCCCTCCAGGCTTCTGGGCTGCCCTCCTGCCCCTCAGCCCTGGCCCAGCCTGCTTTACCTGCTCCTATCACCACTGCATCGTACTCCGGCTTCAGGTGTCCCCTGGTGTCCGAGTGAGCTTGTCTCCAAGCCGAGAAGGGAGAGGCACCCATGGCCCTGCTGAGCCCTCGGCCACAGGCAGCCATTTCTGCCCCGGACCAGGCCTGGAATTTGTGCCTCTCCAGGCAGGGGGAGGAGCAGGGAGAAAGCAGGAAGTTGCGGCCCAGCTGCCGTACTTGGCCTCTGGCCACGACTAAACAGAGGACACTGAGCTGCTGCCGGCTGGCCCAGTTTGCACCGGGCAGAGTCGTGGGAGGTCGCCTGTTAACTGGGCAGAAACCGTGCCACCTCCAGGCCTCCTGGGAGTATAAACTGTGCTGGTGATTCTCCAGGGATCCCCTGTGCCAGGTGGGGTGCTGAGCACGGCCATGCTGCCCCTCACAAAAGCCCCAGAAGAGGAGGCACTGAGGCTTGGAGAAGCATGTGCGCGCGCGCGCGCACACAGAGTGAGTGTTCCACAGGCCCTTCTCCTCCCCTGTGCTGTCCAGCTTCTCATTAAGGAATTAAACGTCCAGGATGAGCTGGGGGTGGGAATTCAAGCAAAGAAAGAGACAGAGTCAGACTCAGCTCCAACTCCCTGTCCTTCTGGTCTGGAGAGGTTAACTGCTCTAAACCCACAGCAGGCTCAGGGACCTGCTGCCTGGAGGACTGTGGGGCAACCCCTCAGCCCGGCTGTGCCGGAGCCGCAACAAAACTGCAGGGGTCCACACCTGCTGCTGGGGCCCCTAGAGCATCTTGTGTCCTCGCCCAAAGGCTTTAAACACCGTCCACTTCACGGGCTGCTGCAAAGCCTGAAGGGTTTGGGGGCCAGTCCAGTCACCTGTGACTCTTGGGATTCACCGTTTTCTTCTGAAGGCCCGAATCTCTCTGTCTTTTGGCACTTTTTCCATTTTCCAAGAATCCTCGAGGATTAACGACAACATCTGTAAATACCCTCAGCTACGTGCTCACCGTCCTTGGCCTGTCCTGAATCGGAAGCTTCTTAGCTCCCTGCCCATTAGTTAGGCTGTTTGCCTTGTGGGAACAGAGCACCGTAGGGGTTGGGAGTTCCTGTACTGCTCTGACGTTTGTCAGTGTTCTAGAAACCTGCTATAAGAAACGCATCTTGAAATTAGCAGTATTTGTGGAAAAGTGCCCCTGGGTAAGAGGGATTCCTGGGGACCTTATTCTCGACTCAGACACCCCTCCACATGCCACGGAAGGTTTAAGATGCATGTGCCTCTGCTAAAATCCGATTTATGATCTTCCCCCAGTGTTATTTATAACATTGAAAAACTAGAGGGGTTGGTTAAACTAGATGTCATATCATGCAGCTGCTACAAATTCGGGGAAAATATCAGGTGACAGAAGAGAGGACCCTGAACAGCGCAGGGCTCCGAGATTAGATCTTCCCCTTGTGCTCTTCTGTATTTCCATTTCCACCTGTAAAGTCGCCACATTAAGGGGGAAGGCAGTCCCGGTCACCACGACTGTCCCTCACTAGCTCCTCTGGTACCTCTGTGCTCCAGGATGTCTGCGTAACAGGAAAGAACAGTCTTCTTTGCATGGATTTTAGCTCAAAATTGAAGGCCCAGCGGCCCAGCCCCTGTCTGTGCGTCACACGTGACCCAAGCGTCGCTGCGCCGCGCTTACTTCCGCCACCGTCGTCACTTCTCCGTCCCCGCTGCGGCCCTTTGGAGTCCAGTGCTCTCGTGGGCACTTGTCCTCGTGTCCGTTCTGGTGGGGGTACTCCTAGGTTAGAGAAGGAGCTGTACCCGTTGGGTGGTGTTCTCAATCCAGGACTGTCTGGGAAGCTTTGAAAACCCTCAAAGCCTGGGATCCACTGGACTGAGTGACATGAACTTGTGGCGGGGCTGGGGCAGGACCCGAGAACAGAGAAGGACACGGAGAGGCCAGGATTTGCCAGTGCTCATCAGCACAAAGGACGGCATGTGTGGCTTCAACAGTAACAGTAACAGTAACCAGCATTTATTGACCACCTGCCCCATGTCTGGCAGCCCCATGACCACCCTGAGAGGGGGGTGCTGTCACTCTGAGTGTGGGGAGACAGGTTTAGAGGTGAGGAAACCTGCCCAGAGCTGCAGAGAGGAAGTGGCAGCTGGATCAACCCAGCCAGGGGAGCACCTTCCATTTGGGGAGGGAACCGGCTTCTGGATGGAGCTTCTGCACTCCAAGAACAGTGGACACATGCAGGCACAGGGACCTCCTCTGCTGTTCTAAGGAGACCAAAGGAACCCTCTGGCCTCCTCCTCCAGAGTGAAGGATTTGGGGGTTTGCTTGCCAGAATGGAGGCTGGTCTCAGTGGAGTTTCTTTAAGAAATCCTGGGGCTGTCATGGGGGCTGGTCCATCCTCGGAAGGCTGCTGTGGACAAGAGGAGGCTCCTGCCATGGGGATGTCTGCCAGCAGGGTGGGCCTGGAGCACCGAGGTGTGCAGGCAGACCACACGGGGGACGCTCCGCCCTGGCCTAGAGCAGGGGGACATGGGAAGCCTCCCCCAGGCGTCGGGCCAGCTCCCCGGCCTGCTGCACCAGCACGTCCACGGGGATGACGGACAGGTGGAGGGCCAGCAGCTCGTGACACCTGACAGCCTCGGCCGGGTGGCCTTTGCTGTAGTAGCGCAGGAGCTTCCTGGGGGAGGAGGGGGAGACAGGATTCAGGAGGGAGCCACGGCGCTCCTCCCAAGGCCAGGGGTCTCTCCTGGCCCCGCGCACGGGCACTAGGTCACCTCATTAGGCCTTCCCTGCCCCTCCTGACCGCACCTTACGGGGCTCAGCCCCAGGCCGACACACCCACCCCTTTGGGCTCTCGGTCCTGGAGTGGGGTCTGCTGGACAGCAGTACCCAGCCTGGGGGCACCACAGAGCCGCAGGGAAGGTCTTCAGGAGGCCAGCACAGGCATTTGCAAACACTGCTGGCACAAGCCCGTCAGGAGGCAGCAGGGCAGGAGACCCGGGGACCCACCACTCTCTTCCTCTCACTGAATGCCCTCGCGAGTGGGGCCGGGGTGGAGGGCATTCCCGGGGGAGGAGCGCTCCCTCAGTGGGAACTGGCCCTTATCACCCACCACCCAGCCCCGGCCCCGGCCCCACCTGTAGTAGTCTCCTCCCAGCATGCCCACGGGAGCCGCGTCGTCAGACAGGACGGGCACATCAATTATCTGGAGTTTGTAGCCCTGGGGGAGGAGGAGGAGCATCGTGAGTGGGGAGGCGGTGGGAGTGGCAGGAAGAACATGGACCCGAGTCAGAGGCACCGGGTCCGAGCCCCACTTGGCGTGTGCTTGGTGCTGGGAAATGCGTGCACCTCTTTTTAACTTGTCTCTCTCCTGTGAAGTGGAAGAAGCAATGATCTCCCAACGGACGTCAGAAGTCTCGGATACAGCGTTCCGAGCATAGTGCCCGGCGCACGCTAGCTCTCATTCCCATCAACCAGTGGCCCTGGGTCAGCAACAGGCCTGTGGGTGGGAGGGCGACCCGGGGAGGTGCCGTGAAGAGCAAAGCGTTACCAAGAGGCCGTGTCTCTCTCCGAAAGCAACGGATTCCGAGGGTAGGATATGGCGGGGAAGGGACTCAAGCTCCGTGGGGCTCCCACCAGGCGCCAGGCCAGTCACGGGGCTCCTCGGGGCTGTGCTCACCGGGCAAGGCGAGGCGCGCCCTGGCGGGGAGAGGAGGACTCGGCAGTGTTCAGTGGCCGCTCAGAAGGCACAGGTGCAGCCAGACTTCACACCTCGTCTCCCAGCCCCACGGCTCTATTTCTATTACCTTTTACCCCATGGGGCCAGCCACACACACGTAGCCCTGCTTCTCCCTAGAAACTAATGTGACGGTCACCCCATATCCTGGGCGCCTCTGAGGAAGGCACAGAGCCAGGAAGGGAGCCTACAGGTCAGCAGAGCTGAGCCTGGGCTCTGACATCATCACTCAGGACCTCGGGGGCCCTGGCCACAGTGTTTGAGCTCTAAGGCATCAGCGACTCCGGCTGTGAGATGGGGTCAGTGACGCAGGCTGTGTGGGCGTGAGGCTGAGAGAATGGTGGTGAGAGACTGAACTGGCTACGCGGCACCATGGAAAGGGACAGGCTGTGACCTCGGGCTGAGAGGAAGGAGGGCTCGCTGCCCAGAGCAGAGAGGCGGCAGGGCATGAGCCGGGGAGGTGACAAGACAGGGACCAAGGGAACGTGACAGGGAGAAGTAATGGCCCTCAGAGAGCAGGAATAGGGGAAAACAAAGAGACACAGATAAGGAAAGCAGAGGAGAGAGGAGAGAGACAGAGTCATCGAGACAGAGGGACAGTGGGAAGGGCCGGGAGGATGCACACACACTCCCAGGACCTGTGCTCAGACTGTAGTGACAGGGCGGGAGGCAAGAGACCTGGGCCGTCCTGCCAGCTTCATGTTGGGCAGGTTGGCTAAGTGCTCTGAGCCTCGGTTTGTCCACCTCCAACATGGGAACAGGGAGCCTGGCTTTGTGAGCGAGGCTGATGATGCCGAAGCACCAGCGGGGAAAGCGGGCGGAGCAGCCCTCTCATGTGGGGCCTGTGTCTGTCTGTTCACATGTTACCTGGACACCACTGGGAACCTGGGCATGAGGTATTCAGACAGCTGGGCGGAGGGATCACAAAGCCCACATGCAAATGGGACCTCTGAGCTCTGGGTCCCAACCAGCGGGGCTTACCTGTCAGCTCCACCAGAGACGAGAAGAGATGGAGAGACAGACTGAACAGAATCCAGGAGAAAGGGATCCAAGAGTTACAGGAAAGGAAAGCATTTCAGGGCCGTCCTGCCGGGGCCTGGCCACACGCACCATCTCATTCTCGAACCACAGGAAGTAGGAGCAGTAGAAGTCGCCCTCCCGGAACAGCAGCGTGGTGTAGCCCTTCTGCAGGTATCTGCGCGCCAGCCGGATCAGAGCCCAGACCTGGGGAGAAGGGGGAGTGCTCGTGTCCGGGGCCTGCAGGTCGGCCCGCTCAGAAACGGCAGGATGGGCTCAGGCTCTCAAATCCCGAGGGAAGAAAAGCACTCAGAGGAGGGGCTCCTTGAAGGCAGGGGCCTCTCCTGCTCATCTTCCTTAGCGCCTAAGCACGGCCTTGCTCAGACCAGGAGCCTAATAATAAGTGGATATTGGATGGGTGGATGGCTGGATGGACGACCTACCCCTCCAGTTACCATGACAACAAAATATATGTAAAAACACCTTATGTACCTTTACTATACACACAAGCAGTGAAGCAGTAAATTCAGCATTCAGGCCAGAAAACAGTCAGGGACACAAGAGGAGATGAGGGTGTGACCACCTGGAATCCCTCCAGCCACTTACATGGCCCCCCAGAGCTGGGGATCTCTGGCCCAGGCTCTATGCCAGGAAAGTGCTGGGAAAGTGTTTCAATGTACAGAGTACCCTGATCCAGGCACGTCCTCTGCTCTGGGCTGTGGTTTGAACTAGGGCTCACCAAGGGGAAGGACGGAAGACAGTGACCGAGGGACAACGTGCCTCAGATCCCCTGTGCGATGTCCTCCTGCTTAATTCAAGGCCTTCTGTTGCTGCCATGAATGGCCCAAGGGAAGCTGGAGCTGGGACGGATCTGCTCCCCTACCTCTCAGGGCTGGGAAAGGCCTGGTGAGCTCGCACCAAAAAGCTTAGTGGAAGGCGTACACAGGCCATTCCAAACCTGACCACACGTAATGTCCAGTTAAAACTGCAAACAAATACGTGGGTTTGCTCTATTTTTCAGGAAAGCCATTTGACAACATGTATCAATAACCTTAAAAACATTCCTCCCACTTGACTTCATAATTCCATTTCTGGGAATTCATATTGAGAAAAGAACCAGAGATGAGGACAAGGATGTATGCCCAAAGGTGTGTGCTGCAGAATTATTTATAACAGTGAAAGCTTGGCAACAATCTAAATGTTCAATGCAGGGAAAATGGCTGAGCAAATGACGCTACGTTCGCATGATGGACTATTGTGGACCTGGTGAAAATTACGGTGATAAAGAATTAATGACATGAGGAAATGCACCAGATATAAGGTGAAGGGAAAATGTGGTGAACACAACTGCATACACAGAATGATCTCAACTACAACCAACTGCACAGAAAAACAATGAACAGAAAAGTACCCAGGTGAACCTCAGCTGTCTCCAGAAACAAAGAGATGCTGGTGCGGGTGGTACCAGGCAATGCTCAACCAGCTGCAGCTGCATGCTGCGCCGCACGCTGGTCTAAGGGTTTTACTCGTATCACACATGCACCTGGAACCTGTGCAATAATTCTGTGACGTCGGTAGTGTTCCTATCCTCTTTCACAGATGGGGAAACTGCAGCTTAGACTCAGCAATACCCCAGCCATGGAGTCAGTGAGGGGCAGAGCTGGGCCTCCAACACGGGCGTCTGTACATACAAAAATTACACTGCATGTATTACATGTGCAAATAACACCCCATAATTATATAACATAACATATATTATATATGCAATAGAAGAATATATATTTTATATGTATATAAAATATGTGTAGTTTTTTAGAAAGTGGCAGAGGTCCTCCCTCCTCCCCCTACAAAATTCTAGTTTGCCATGAAGAACCAAGCAGGATACAAGAAACTTCAGAGATTGTTTCTTTGTAGAAACTACCTAGTTTTACATTTTGATACTCAAATCGATCAACCCGTGCTTCTTCTTTCTCTTTTAGTAACAAATACTTATTGAGCATTCATTTACGCCAGGCACTGTGTTAGGCCCTGGCCATTCCCCCCTGACCTGCTGACCCAGGAAGGGGCCCGACATGGACTGAGGCCCGAGTGGCCCTGCATGCTGGCTGGGGCCCCAGGGTGACAAAGATGAGACACTATTTTTAGAAGCCTACATTGCAGGGCACAGACATCAGGAAGAGTGTGCTAAGACTAAGGTGGGGGGTGCTCAGAGCCTCCCGGGAGCCCCGAGCGCAGGGGTCAGCACACCCCGTCTGATGCTCAGGGAGAGTGTCCCGCCGGGCAGAGGTTACCTTGGTTCTGACGAAGGTGGCCAGGGGCCCCTTGCCCAGCTCCGATGAGGTCCTCTCACTGCTGCTGAGGGAAGGGGCCACCATCTGGCCAGTTGTGCGGTCCACGTAGATGAAATGCACCAGGCCTGGGAAGTCTTCCAGGTAGGTGGGGGTCTGAGTTAAGGTGCTTGTAAAGCCAGAACCAGGGAGGGAGCTTCTCTGTCCTCAGCCTAGGCTGCTGGCGAGGCTAAGCAGTGAGTCGGAGGCCAGGCCTGCCACACCTGCCCCTCCTCACAGGTTTCCTTGTCGGCCAACTCTCCAGGACCCCCTCTTTCCCAGATCTCTTTACCTCTGAATCCCCAACCCCGAGAAGATCTAAGATGCAAGCACAATGGATCCTTGGCACTGGCACATTTAATGCAGGGACTTGTGGTCCCAACAGGAACACTGTATGTTCATATTTTACCATTTTCACGAGGGATGAGTTTAAGCTACATACACGGTGAGGCTAGTGTGAGAGGAGGGTTACAGAGCTAGTGAGTGAGCCTAGCTGACCGCCCAACTCACGTCACCTGCCTGGCGCACTGCTACCCTTCGTCTTGAGAGGCTGGAAGGTTCCCACTTGAGACGGGACATACAGCCGTGGAAGGGCAGTGGCTGGTGGCTAATAAGGCCCTCTGCCATCCCTTTCACCTGCACACTGGCAACTGAAGTTTTAGGAGACTGGAGGCCAGACCCTTTAGAGATTTTAATACAGAAAAAGCAACTTTATGTAAAGTTCCAGGGAAAATCAGTATTTGATAAAATTAGCGATCTGTAATAAAAGCTCTAAGTCTTAGAGACAGTTTTTTAAACAGAGGAAAATAAACCTATTTACTGCAGGCCTTCTCAGAGCCTTCACACTCCACCATAATACTGTGACCCCTACAAAGGAGGACGTGGCCCCTCAAACCTACCTGACCTCAGGGCCCCGCCCCTTGTGGGATACCTGCTGCCACTTCGCTGGCTGGATGACACCGACATCAACGATGTCTGTGGCTTCTGGAAGTGACCTTGGGACAGCTAGAATTTCCAAAATTTCAGCCGTGGAGGGTTCCTACTGATAAGGCACCTTGGACACTATTTGCTATCATTTTCCTTCAGAGAAAGGAAACAGATGGTGAAATGCATGTGCTCTTTTCTCAAAGCCACAGTCCTTCAAAGGAGCAGGTACAGGAGACAGGCAGCCTGAGGCGCTTTCCTGTGCCGGCTCCAGGCTGGGGAATCAGGATATGACACCATGGTGACGTTCCTCCTGCTCTTCACCAGCAAGAAGTCCTTCCAATCGGTCAGCTTTTCTCTGCCAAGGAAGCAGGGGAGCAGGTGAAGTGGGCCCCATACTCCTGCCCTGGCCACTGAGGGGCCACACCCGCACTTACTGCATGAGGGTCTGGACCCGGTCCTGCAGGTGCTGGGGCAGGTGGGGGCCTCCCCGGCCCGGAGCCGCGGCCAGGAAGCTCAGACGGTAGATGGTGCAGAGCTGCCGCTTCACCCTCCTGCAAGCCTGGAGCAGCCTGGGCACGGGAGGTGCGATGTCACCGCAGGAAGGGCCCTAGGAGGGCGCTTATCCTGTGCAGTTGCCCCGCTCCTGGACTGAGGACACAGCTGATGAAGCATACCCTCGCCCTCACTGAGCTGGGAGGCAGCTTCCCAGCTCTCCCTTAGCATGATGCTCTGAGTACCTGGAAGCTCGTCCAACTTCATGGTTTATTTTCCAGAGAAATGAGGGGCAGTGCCTTGCTTGGTTCTGTGCTGAAGCCGGCCCGGAAGCCAGGCCTCTGCCTGACATGGGGTCCTCAGGTCCCTGCTCCTCAACCTCCGTCCTCTCTGCCCAGCCTCCCCCCAGCATCCATGGGCTGGGCACACCCTCCGGGACCCCTCTGCCCTCAGAAGCTCCTTCCCGAGCATCCTCTCCCTCTGGGCCTGGAGGAAACTCACCCCCGTCCAATGATGCCCCCACCTCATCCTCAGAGCCCACCACTCACTCCCAGGACGATCCGGGCTCACTTCTGGAGAAGGCCTTGGTCTTGAACTCCAGCCAGGTGCTCTGTGAGGAGGACAGGTGACAGGCAGCTTCCCGACAACGTTCCCACAGTGAGGTCTGGGGAGACCCCATGTCAGACCATGAAAGGCCCCCTGCCTCCACAGCTTATTTAGGCCCAGCATTGCTGTGCTGTCCCTGGCCAAGCTGGGTCTCCGGCAGGTCCCCCCACACCCTGTGCCCCACCGCACCCCACAGTCTATTCACTCAGCAGGTACTTATTGAAAGAGCGGTCCCTGTGTGCCAAGTTCTGGGCTCACTGCCGGGCTGGCAGACACCGCAGACCAGTGCTGTCAGAGGGACAGGTACGTGCCTCCCAGGAGGGGCAGGGCAGGCAAGGGCTGGAGTGCTGAGGAGGAGCCCCGCGTGGTTCCCTTAAGGGGAACTCTGCATCCTAACGTGCTCACGGGGGCACCCAGGCACCGCAGGTGCTGAGCGGCTGTGGACTGATCGGTCTGTCTGGGTCTGGCCTTCAGTCGCTTGGTCTGCCTTTTCTAATCCCTCTGCTCGTTTCCAGACCAACTCCAGCCGCAGTGAGTCTCAGTTCCTCAAACAGACCCATGCCCCGCCAGCTATGCGAGCGGCCCCAGATCTCAGCCCAGTTCTATCCTCACGAGCTCCCTTCTAGGCTCCCGCCCAGAGTGGGCCCTGTTTCCTACTGCTTATGTGTGCCCTTGTGTCTTGGCCTCTCTAAGCCCCCCTCAGGTAGAGTGGCCTTGCTGTGTCCTGCACTTCTGTGAGACCAGCCATGCGGCAAGGGGCCCCACAGGCAGGCTGCTGGCAGCCACTGAGTCCTAGGGTTGGGCTCTGGCTTCACTGCTCACCAGCCAAGCAAACTTGGCCAAGTCACCGTCTGCTGAGCCCTGGTTTCCTCACCTACAACATGAAAGCCATAACTTGTGCTCTGCCAAAGTTATGTAAGAATGCTTTAGAAACGTCAAGTGTCACCGTGGTAAGTTTCTGTTATGGTTTCCTAGTGGGGGAAACAAGGACCACAAAGCTATGGTGGGGCGGGGGTGGGCAGCTCCCAGAGCCTTGGCCAGATCTGGTGCAGACAGAACAGGCCCTGCCTCCTCTCCCCCAGGTGGGGTGTGCAGGGCCTGCATCTCACCTGAAGCTCTTGTCCACCTCGACTCTTGACGAACTTGTCCATCCTCTGGCGCAGGTCCCCCATGAGGGGATGGGACCGCAGGGTGCTCCCCACCTCCTGCCCCTCCTTCAGCTTCTTCTCCAGGAGGGAAAATCCATCCAGCAGCTGGTACAGGACCAGGGCCAGGGGCGTGTTGGGACCCTAAGGGAAGGAGAGTGAGGCAAGGTGAACAGAGGCAGCTGTGGAGAAGGCATCAAGGCCTGGGTGTCGCTGGGGCAGGTGTAGGGCGCTCGTACCTTTGTCAGGACCACCATGTTGATGCCCGGCCAAAGAGGCAGGCAGTACATGGTGTGGGGTACCATGGGGCAGTAGTTCTCCTTCACACTGGTGTCTAGGAAAATCCTTCTGGGGCTGGAAGGTCCTGGGGAGTGAGGGACCAGCGTCTGGAGGGTGTCCTCAGCCACCTGCAGAGGAAGAGGAGCTGTCGCCGGGAGGGGGTAGGGCCGCCATTGGCCTCCTCCTCATGCCTGGTCCACCCACGGCTGCCTGCTGGCTCCCCATGAACAAGGAATGAACTTCCCCAGCTCCAAGAATTCTCAGTTCCTAAGTTCCCGCACTCCGCTGAGGCTGCCCTGGCAGCTCCCGTTCTGCTGTCTGTCTCTCTCCAACATCTTCAGGGCCCCTCTCCCTGGAGTCAGGACTGGAGGGCACTCGGGTGGTGGTGGGTAGGAAGGGTCAGGAAAGGTGGGAAGAGCAGATGGGGCGGCTCCCCAACGACTTCACATACCTGAAGGCATTTAAAGTTGCTCAACATTCTGTCATTTCACCACCCTCAGGACATCCCCACAGCCATCCCAGGGGGTAAGTGAGGCACAATGTGACTAACTGCGCAATACTCCAGCCTGACGAGGGCTCTGAGTAAGGAAAGTCTCAGCAAGCAAGAGCAGGGAATTAAGGAACTCGTTGGAGATGCCACAGAAACGTCTCTGTGAGGATGTCATGGCAGTCATGACGACGGCAGAGACTGGACACGGTGCACTTAGTTGTTCCAGGAATTTGCTGAATAAATAATAACGTAGGCACAGGATGCACTCTGAACAGTTATTAAAAACCACACTCTTTAAGAATGCTGAGTCAATGGGAAAATGCTCAGAAAAAAAAGAATAATGAAGTACATTAGGATTTATATTTGGCAAGAAAAAAATACGTATGTGGTGTGTGTGTGTACACATAAATGTACATAAAATCAGGAAAGACTAGAAGGAAATACCCACCAAATCTTAATATTAATTAATATCTGGGGTTGGGATTGAGAGTGATTTTTATTTCTTTTCTCGGGAGGGAAGGCTGGTGTCTGGGAGAGGAGGTCACCCTCACCCACCACGCTGCCAGCTCCTGCCTCTGGCTGAGCTCTGTGCCCTGCACTGGCCAGCGCTGAGATGGCACGAGGAAGGCCAGCGCTGGTGGAGAGAGCCCAGGAAAGCCCCTCAGAGTCCCCGGTGCTCACTGCAGCATCTCAGACCAGCTGGTGCGCTGGCAGAACACCCCAACCCCCAGGAGAAACTCACCTGGACCTGGGAAGCATCAGTGGGTGGGGTGCCCTCCTCCAGCCAGACGGTGCTACCTGCAGGCCACAGGTAATAACACAGCATAAATAATGGGGAAATGTAAACAGTAGCCCAACAGCCTGTGAGCAGGGGAGGGCGGAGCAGAGACAGCCTCGCCCCATCCGTGGCTCACAGCACCTGGCGGGGCGAAGGTGTTCCTGTGGGCTAGAGATCCCTCCCCTTCTCATCCTGCCCCAAGCTGGCAAGCACAGGGCCAGCTGTGCAGTAGCAGAGCTCCAGCAGCCTGGGCAGGGGAGGAGGAGCGAGCCCTGAGGATGCACCTGGCAGTGGTGGGGCGCGTCCCTCAGCCCGCTCCTCAGCAACCCCAAACCCCTCCTTGTTCCTGCCTCGACTCGCCCTCGGGGCCCCTCCCTGACTATAACGGTGCCTCTTCACTGGGAGGCAGCACACATGGTGGGTCTACAGTCTCTACTCATTGCGTCAATCAGCAAATTTGTACTGAGCACCTACTACGTGCTGGGAACTGAACTAGATTTCCGTTCCAAGTACAGCTCACAAAACCCACCGAACCAACTGCATATTTGAAGTATTATAGGTTTGTGATAACACTGTTCTCTCATATATTTCATTGCAAATAACTATCATTTATAATCATGTTTTTTCTGGGGATGCCTCTATGTTTCAAGCACCTGATTTACAAATGGATGAATGTAACACAAGCCATTTATAAGTGGTGAGTTCCGTGCCCTACGGAACAGTGTTACTCACAGCTCTGAGGCATAAAAAAACTAACCACTGAGAGAGGAGCCAAGAGGAGGAATGAGGAAGGGAGCAGTAAGAAGAAAAAGGAACTTCAGCCATTATCCCAAAGCAGCGCTTTCCAATGTGTTCTGGGCTCATGGAGCGCTCAGAGAACAGAGGCCCCAGAGACATGTACAAGATGGAGGAGCCGGCACATGGTCTTGGGCCCCAGGCTCCTCTTCTGTTAATAACATTTTGAATATTTTTAGTTTCTCTTTATTGCTTACCCATATACTTAGGAAAAACAGATAAGGTATTAACTAGAGATTATTATTTATATTTTAAATCACTGCACTTGAAATGAAGTGATTATTACTTATTAGCTGATTACCCATTAGTTACAAAAAGAAAGAGGCAGAGGGTACACACTCGAGAGATAAATTTTTAAATGAAATCAATTTGTCATAAAATGTTGTAGGGATCATTTGAGTGGCCTTAATAGTCCTTGAATTCAAGCTGGAGATGGCGGGGTAGACAGAGGGGCTGCTGCAGGCAGCGTCCTGGGGTCTAGGAATCTGGGTGTCCGTGCCTGGGCCCGTACAAGGCATGAGGATCCCCTGAACCCTAAGACAGGTTCCAGGGGCTGCCAACTGGCACCTGCCTCCTCCCCTCCCCCCACTCCCCTCCAGGTCTCACCTGAACTCTGCTCCCCGGGGGAAGGAGCTGGTGTGAAGTACTCCTCAGCGGGGGAGAAGCTGTCTGTCTCCTGCAAGGGAGAAGGGGCAGCTGGACTGAGGACTCAGAGAGGCTACCCTAGCAGGCTCAACCCTGCTCCCTGCTCTCCCAGGAGAGGCCGAGCATCCCCTCTCCTCCACGTGGTACGCAGCACATACGGTCCCTGCAGAGCTCCTCCTGGTTGGGTCTGCAGAACAAGAGCTCCAGGCCTGCTGCACGGGGATGCTCTGGCTGCTCTGGGGCCTGCGTGGGGAGGGCTGTGACAGGCACAGAGATGCTAGTTAAAGCACTCCTCCCGGCGGGTCCTCGGCCTCCCAGCACTTCACAGCACAGCCCTCAGAGCAGAGGACCACGCAGGGCCCTCCGACCCCCGCGCCCCACTCCCTCACGCAGCCCTGGGCGTGTGTCCTCACTTTCCAGGGATGTTTCAGTTCTAGTCTTTCTCTGGAACCACTGAAATTCTACAAATTTCAACACTGGTATCCAGACCACTGCTACTCCACCACTGACGATGAGGAGGCGGCGCGGTGACCGTGGCGGGAGCACTTACTGAGCGTCCGCTACGCCCCAGGCACTGCTGGGCTCTAGGTAAACTGTCTCCGCTTTTCCTCACAACCACCTTGAGAGGCAGGTGCCATCACTGTCCCATTGCACAGATGAGGGAACTGGGGCTCCGATGGGGCAAATACTTGCATAGCAAACACAGCTAAGTGCTGAAGCTGGGACTACCTGACTCCAAAAATCTGCACTTTTAACCCCTACACCAAGTGCCTTCTAGAATTCCCCTTACATGGAAAAGCAGCTGGAAAAAAGTAATGCCCAACCACACGCCCAGAATCGTGACTTGGAAACCACACAGTCCCCAGGCAGCCTGCCCAGCCCTCTTCAGACTGGTTTTCTGAGCCACCTTCCTGATGGCCTCTCGCTGCCCAGAGGGTTGCCCTGAGACCTGGGTGTCGTTGTCCTCAGCTGTGCTCTCGCTGGGGTATAGGTCCTGAACCAGAAGGATGAGGGCGAGGAGGTCGGCTGGGCGCAGGGAGCTAGCGCTGTGGCTGCAGAGAGAATAGGCAGCTGGTCAGCATGTCCCCAGGGACCCCAGCCTACAGGTGGCAGTGCATGGGGGCAGGCAGGTTAAGGGAGCCTGGAGCACAGTCCCTGACCTCAAGGAGTTAAAAACATGCCAGCTGACTTCATCCTTTTTGGAGGAACACAAGGTGTACATAAAATTAGTTAACTCATCCATTTTTAAATAAAAATTTGGTTGTGCTGAAAAAAAATTACCAGTGGGAAACGACCAGGGACCAACAAGCAGCCTATCAGGAAACTCTACATTCCAATTTTGACACAGCATTCTGGGAAGAAATAATTCAGAGAAGTGAGCAGAGACAGGATGAAGAACTGAAGAATCTAAGGAGGCCTCACGGAAGAGGTGGGTCTGGAAGGTTTCCCTGGCTGGGGAGGTGGTGCTTTCAGGTAAAGGGAGTTTCAGAATGGGTGAGGGTGTGGGGCTGGGGGTCTCGGGCTCACCTGGAGTAGAAGGCCAGCAGCTTGGAGTGCACGAGCAGGAAGGCGTGCAGGGCCTCCTCGCCGGCCCGCTTAGGGCTAGTGTTGATGGCTTGGATGACATGCCGCTCCAGAGCCTCTATGCACAGCTTGCAGAGCTGAGGGTGGATTAGCCGCTCCACAGCCTGGGTGTGACGGGCAGGGAGAGGAAGTCACGTCACCCCCACCATTCCTGCTCCAGCCCCGCGCTGGCTGGTACCTTCACTCAGGCCACACTGAGCACGCACCATGTGCCAGATGTTTGGGAGTAGGGAGGCTCTGACCAGCACCATCCCTGCCTTCCTGGGGCCTACAGTCTGGCCACTAGACTCTAGTGGATGAGACAGACAACATGCAAGGAAGCAAAGGATGTGCTAATAAATGCGATGCAGGGAATACACAGTACTGGACTAGAGATAAACAGCAGAGACCCATGTGGGTAGCATGTTCAAAGAAAATGTCCCTGAGGAGGTGACCTTTAAGCTGATATTTAGGGAACAAGAAACGCTGTCAGAGAAAGGTGGGGGGTGAACGCTCGAAGCCAAAGAGCATGTGCAAGGGCCCTGAGGTGGAGAGAGTTTGGAGCAGTGGTGTCCAACTAATTAATCCCTAAGCATAGTTTAAAATTCTCTAGTAACTACATTAAAAGAGTAAAAAGAAACAACAGAAATTAATTTTAATAACTTATTTTACCCGATGTATCTAAAATTGTATCATTTCAACATAAGGTGTAAAAGCATTATTAGTGGGATGTTTGGCATTCTTTTTGTGTACTAAGTCATCAAAATCCAGTGTATATTTTACATGTATAGCATAACTGAATTTGAACTAACCACACTCCAAAGGTTCAATAGACACATGTAGCTAATGACGACAACGCTGGATAGAGTTAAGCGTAGGGTGCTCTTGAAATGGAAAGAAGTCCAAGGTGGCCAGTGCATGGTGAGTGAGGAGAGACAGGCATCAGATGAGGCTGGGGAAAGACAGGCAGCGACAGATACACGGGGCCTGGTAGGCTTGGGAGGGACTTTGGATTGTATCTTAACTGCGGTAGGCCACCTCCTGTTTCAGGAAGCCTTTGCTGATGCCTCAGAAAGAGCTGACCATGCCATCCTTTGTGCCACCGTGGATTCTGGTGAGAAACCCAACATGGCAGCACCCAGGATAGTTCATCGTATTTTTTAGTGTATGTGGATGCTGATTTCCCCTCAAGGGCAGGGACTGTGTCTTTATTCACCTCTGTATTCCCAGGGCCCGGCACATCTCTCAGCATATGGCAGGTACTATATGTTTATCAGAAGAGTAAGTGGGTGGGAGTGTGAAAATGAATTTCTTCAGACCCGTTTTCCAGTTCACTAGTTCTTTCTAGCTATGTCTCATCTACTATTTAACCCATCCCTTGAGGTTTTCATTTTAACAATTATGTTTTCATTTCTCAAATATCCATATGGGCCTTTTCCTAGCTTCTTTGTCTTCAAATATTTCCTAGTTATTTTATGCTCTGTACCTAATAATTCCAGTATATCAAGCTCCTTGGGATCTGTATCTCCTGGTGATTGACTCCTCCGACTCTCACTCATGGCAGATTATTTTCTTGTGCATCTGGCTGTTAACTTTGAGCTCACATTTGTTTGCTCTTCATCTGTCCTTTAAATCAGTGGCTTTGGCTTTCAACATGTAGTTCCCAGACCAGCATCATCAGCATCACCTGGAAACTTGTTAGAAATGCAAGTTCTAGAGCCTCCTACCCCTGACCTCCCCACTGAATGAGAAAAGTGAGGCCCAGAAACCTGTACCTAACAAGTCCTCCAGGTGATCCTGGTGCACACGGAGTGTAAGAACCAGTGACCTAGAGAGAATCCATGTGTCTCTACTGGGAGCTAGGGAGTGCTACTGATGACAGCCACCGCCTTAACTCCTCAGGTCTGGGCTCAGCTCCCCCGTGTCGCTGCTGGCCTCAGGCTTAGTTTTTTGGCTGCAGTGTTGGTACCATCACCTGCTCTCAGGCAATCTTGCCTTTAGTGCTGCTTATTTTTCTCTACTTTCTACTCTAGTTATAGTAGCAATGAGTTTCAATATAATTTGGGGTGGAGAGGATCAGAGTTGGAGGGAGCTATGTTTAGAAATTTCCGTAATTTACTATGAGCCCAAAACCTGCATTAAAAAGTCTCCTTTATCCAGGATCTAGCTATTTCATTGCAGGGAAGCCCATCAGAGTGCCTGTCTCACCCCGTGGCCAGAAAGAGCAGCTCTCTGAAATGTACGAGCTTGAGAGGCACTCCTTGGGTAGGGGAGTGCGAAAACATGGTCTTGAAGCTGCTGGCCCCTCTGACCTGACATTTCTGTGGCCCGAGGACTCCCGCACCCAGCAGTCACCTCCACAGCGAAACACTGCTCCTGCTCCCGCAGGTGGCTGTAGGTCCACAGCAGGCTCTGGAAGTGCTCCCAAACCTGCACCCGCTGCTCCAGGTCCGGGGGCCGCAGCCTGGGGGCAGAGCGGGAGGGGCCGTGAAAAAGCTGGCTGTCCTGGCTTCAGTCAAAGGAGCTCAGTCTGAGATCACTGTAAGAGCCAGGCGAGCTCACATGGCAGGACCAAATACCTGAGGGGAGCCCATACAGTGCAGAGGGGGCGTGTCAGGCTGTGGCCCCCGGCGGAGTGGAGTGGAGTGGGATGGGCACGGAACCAGGACGTGGGCACCTGAGCAAATCACTTCACTTCCCAGCCGCTTTCCTTCACACACACACAACAAAAGCCAGCTAGAGACCCAGGAAGGTGCCAGGCAGGAGTCAGGGCAAAGCGTGACAGGCAGCATCACAGCGGCTGGGCACATGCTGCTGGGCCTCGAGACAGGGCTCAGCAGAGTTACCCAGAGACTCACTCTTTTCGAATGATCTGGCCATCCACGGTAACCAGCCCGAAGTGCACCTCAAACAGGTACTTGAGCACACATAGCTTCTGCCGCAGGTCCCCCTCACCCTCTGTGCGGTCTCCATTGATGGCGATAAACAGGCATTCTCCGAACTGCAGGCACAGCGGGCTGACATCAGCCAACCCAGGGGATCCTCTGACCTGCCCTCATGGCTGAGGACAGAGAGAGGGGCTCAGGTCCCAGCTGTTAAGATGCAGCTCCTGCCTTCTGAAGTTCAAGATGAGGGAGAGGCGTGCGGACTGTCCATGTTGCTGAGGGGAGAGGAACACGGGCCCAGGGCTGCACACTCACCAGGTGGAGGACATACAGGTAATTGCCATTTTCCGTTGAGAAGCAGGTGTATGTGTCTGAGAGCTTCTCCAGCATCGTCATGGAAGAGATGATGACGGGGGCCAGGAGGGTGCTGAGCTGGTCCTCCAGGGTGGGAAGCTGCTGGAGGGGATAGAAAATAACATTAGTGTGCCAGACATAGGACGAAGGAATGGACGAGGCTCAGGCCCTGCCATCAAGGGACTCCACAGTTTTGGATCCACCTGAGAAGCTCTCATTGTCCAGAAAGGGAGTGGGGCAAAAAGACAGTGCTCCAAACCTTGGGTGGTATCAGGAGGGCTGGGGAGTGTCAGTCAGCTAATTGTGCTGTTCAGACTCTGATTCTAGAAGGAAACGTTGGGGAATTAGGCTGCACAGATGAATGTTCGGAACATTTAATGGAGACTGGCCAACTCTGAGAAAGAATGCAACATGCACCCAAGTCCATGCCCCTGGCTGCAGTAAGTCTCCTTTGGGGAGTGTATCCTAAGGAGAATAATCAGATGGGGCAGATACGTGGGCACAGAAATGTTCACTAGAGCAGAATTTATAGGAGAAGCAACTGGAAAGAATGTAAATGTCCAGTACCAGGGAAAGAGTTAAATAAACAACAGTACATCTAAATGACGGAAGAATATACAGCACCTAAAATACTAGAGTGTTTCAGTGACATGGAAAATTCCTCTGATACAACGTAATGTTAAATAAAATGGCTGTGAATGCTCTGTATTTTCAAATGCACAGAATAAACAAAGTATTTAAAAAACGTTAAGAAAGTCAGCGCTGTTACAGAACAGAAGGACCAGGAATTTCTCCCCCCACTTTTTACATCTTTCTGTACTTTCCCTTTTCAGTGACATAAGCTTTCATAAGCTCTTCCCCCATCCATTCTCTCAGCCTGCTAAATTAGGAACAAAACAAATGGACAAAACCAAAAAGAAAGCGGACAAATTTGCTGAAGATCTGTGAATAAAAATTGGATAAAGCCAGGGGAATATTCACAACTCAAGTTCTCCACTGGAACGAAAAGACAGGAGGAAAACAGCTGACTACCCGCAAAATGCTGATTTCAGGAATCTCAACTGAAATAAGGAAAAAGCAGAGTCCTAGTTTTAACTACCAGGAGCTGAGTGAGACCTGGCCTTGAAAAGAAAAACGGGCCCCACATGGCATTTAAAATATGTGGTGGCCATGGCATCGAGGAGCGTAGTTTCCTCCAACAGACTGGACAGTCAGGAACCAAGGTCTGTGTCCCGCTGCTGCGGGGGCTGGCAGTCACCATCCATGGGTCCTAGCTCAGACAGCACCTCTCCTGACCACCCCGCCCAGGCATTCCCCATCCCCTACCCACCACTTTTAACTTCCCACCGCTCATCCCTTCCTGACTTGTGGTGTTTATTTGCTACCCGGGTCACTGTGGATTCAACCTCTTTCCACTCCTGGTTCCACGAGAGCCCCGCCATGTTGCCACGCTCACTGCTTTGCACACACTGGGCTCTCAAGTAATATTTGTTGAATGAATATCCCTCCATGTAGGCAAACGTTTGATGAATTACTCACATACCACAATTTTCTTGAACTGTCATGAACTGATTATATTAATAAAAAAGTCACTTGAAAATCTAGATTGTGTATAGCAATTCATTTTAAAAGCAGCAGGTTATTCTGTAGGTGCACAGGTGTAGCAATTTTTTTTTTAGTGGGGGGAAATGATAATATTTGGTGCAGGTAGAGTGTAAAGGGGCAGTCTTGTATATCACTTGCTGGGATTATAAAGTGGTATAATATCTTTGAACGGCTTTTGCATTGATATTTCTATTTTTAGGAATTTATCATAAAGAAATAATGAAATGCGGGATAAAATTCAAGCACAAATGTTACTTATGGCAATAGTTACAGCAAACTAGAAGCAATATACATGTCCAATACTGGGAAACGGTTAAATCAATGATGACACATTTATTCATACACTGGAATATAATGTTTCCATTAAGATTTATGCTTTTGAAAATATTTAACAAAACGGAATAATGCTTTTGATATAACAGCAACTGAAAAAAAACAGGAAATAAAATTGTAAATGCGGTATAATCCCAACTAGATATAAAAGATAAAGACCCCAAGAAAATACCCAGAAGAGTTACTAGCTTGGGGTTGTAGAATTATGGGTCATTTAAAAACTATTTCTATGTTAATTCTTGTTATTTACAGGATCAGGCAAACAAGTGCAGTATACAAACTCTGAAGACTCTCTTCCTTTACATTAGCCACTTAGGAACTGAAAAATCAGGAGTTCATTCCTTTATGAGGGTTTTAATAAAGAGGAAGAGAACACTGTCAAATAGTTTGCTTCTTAAATTAACCAAGCTGATGCAGTGACTTTAGAATTAAAACACTTAAAAATTCTTAATTAGAAGAAGTTATATATACTGACTGCTAAAAAAGAAAGGAGCCTAACAGATAGACCCGCTTTTTAGCGTAAATAAAGCCACTGAAACATCTATGCTCTCCGATATGCTGTTTTACTGCTACAGACTGTAACAGAGCGTCCGGGATGCTGAGGCGAATGAACTCGCCGAAGTGGAGCTGGTCCAGCTGATGCTGAGGCCACGGGAGCAGGAAGGCACCACGAGGCAACCAGTCTGCGTTGCTGCGGAAATGTGAGGACTCTCTCCACAGCATCCTCGATAAAAAAGGTTTTAATCCAAAATTAATCTGGAAAAAATTTCAAAATAAATTACTTCCTTTTAATGTAGAGTAGAAATTATCTAAGTAAAAATGACAACTCTCTCTGAGTGGTAACACTGAAGTGTTAAACTGGATATCCACTGGGAAACATAAATAAACCTTTAATCTATACTTTATACCATATACCAAAATTCCAAATGGATTATTAGACCTCCTATAAAACCTGAAACTATAAAATTTCCAAAAGAAAATATAGGAAAAACCCTTTGTCACCTTGGTTTGAGCAAAGATGTCTTAGATGTGACACCAAAAACATAATTCATAAAAGCAAAAAATGGTTAAAACAGAGATATCAAAATTAAAAACTTCTGTTCTTTGAAATATTCTGTGAAGTGGATGTAAAGACAAGACACAGACTGGAAGAAAATATTTGCAAAACTTATATCTACTAAAGGAATTATATCCAAAATATGTAAGAAACTCTCAAACCTCAGTAAGAATAAGAAACAATCAACCCAATAAAAATTAAAAAGACCGACTGTAGCAAGTGTTGGCGAGAACATGGAGGAAAAGTAACGCACGTACACTATTGGTGGAACAGGAAATGAGACAACTTTTTTGGAAGAAGTTTGGCAGTTTGTTAGAAAGTTTACTGTATAACTACATGATTCAGCCTTGCTACCATGAGTATTTACCCGTGAAGCGGGAAAGTCATGGTCACCCAAAGATCTGTATGTGAAAATTCACAAGTGCTTTATTTGTTACAGTGAAAACTAGAAACAACCCAGGTATGGTTCCCAGGGATGACCCAACTGTGGTGCATGGACACTTGGATTACATCTCAGCAATGACAAGGACAAAGCTAGCGACACAAATGCCACAACACAGATGAGTCTCAAAACAATGCTGAGTGAAAGAAGCTAGACCAAAACCGCACTGAGCACACACTGCATGGTTTCACTTACATACAAGTCTGTAGAACACAGCTCACCTGTTGTGACAGAGAGCGGGCTGCTTGCAAGAGGGAGGTGAAGGAAGAGCACAAACTTTTGGGACAGTGGACACGTTCACTGTAGTGCTTGTGATGGAATCACAGGTATGTATACATGTTAAATTACATCAAATTGTACACTCTGAGTATTTCAGTTTACAACATGTCAGTTGTATCTTAATAAAGCTGTTATAAACATGGATGGGTTAAGCTTATGCTAAATTTTTTAGGTAGGGAAACTGATGACATCAAATTTCTCTGTTGTGTGATTAAAATTCTACTTCCTCCTCCGGCCCCCATTTAGCCCAGTGAGCCCTGGGGGTGGGGGGGTCACTGTGCTTGCGACCATCAAGGGTCGACTTCTGAGGATGCACAACTGGGTGTAAAGGACGCAGGCCACACATGCTGCTTTGTTAATCCCTTGAGCTGGGCCAGGAGGGGTGGACAGGCTCCCCTGCCTCCTGGTAGTTCTGTGCTGTCCCCTCCCGTCCATCGTCCATCCCTCCAACCCCGCACTCACCCCTGCTCCCTCACACTCGGACTGCCCAAACTTCAGCCGCAGACTCTCTTCAAACTCCTTGTCCATCCAGTAGAAGAGGACTTCCGCGCCCTCCGTGGCCACCAAGACGCACTTCATCTGCCAGAGAGAAGCAAGGTCAAGGTCACCTCCAGTCCCACATCCATACACTCGGCCTGAGAAATGAGAAGGGTCATAATCCCAGCAAACACCTACTGGCCCTTACTGCGCGCCAGGCACCACCACGAGGGCCTTCCTGGTGTCACCTGCTGGCACTCTCACAGCAACTGGATCAAGTACAATCTTCAGTTACTCCCTCTTCCAAGTCGCAGAGCTCAGATCCAAACCCAAACCTAACGCCAGGGCTCGGGCTCCTTCCTGTGTTATCCGGCCCCTCTCCCCACAGCATCGGCCCCGCCACCAGCCTACTGGACCCGAACATAAGAAAGGACCCAGCTCCTGATCTAGGCTCGAAGTTAACTGCACAAGGGCCAACAGGGCCCAGTCAGGGATGCAGAGGGGCTAGTGCCCCTCCCTCCGGGCACTGCAGAAAAAATGTGCTCCCCCTCAAGTCAGAAACAGCTCCAGGAGACAAGCTTCAAAGCCCACAGAGAGTGGGTTCAGCATTCCAGAAGTTTCCTTCACGAGCTGCTCCTGCTCTGGGGGAAACAGGCTGCATGACCTTATCCATGGTTCACTCTCACCCTTGCTTAGCTGCTGCTTCCTCAGTCACATCCACATACATACATACCCTCTGTGCTACACATTACAATGTGCGGTTACACAAAACGTGTTTCATTATTCACCAACTGGTAGAATCTTAATCCAGAGCTCCCCATACTGGACCTTGGCCCCCTGAGGTGCAGCAAGACACAGATCTTCTCAACTCTCAGGGCAGCCTGAACACACCTGGTGAGGCCAGGGCTCTCAGGCCAGCAGCCTGCCCCAGGCAGGGGCTTCAAATCTTCTTCTTTACCTCCGTGTACCACGCAGACAGGACCACTTGCACACATGCTAAGACATGACAGGGATGAGGAAGCTCTGCTCTGACTCTTCCACAGGTGGACGTCCACTTCCTCAACAGGATCATAGCATCTCAAGGTCTCTGACTCAGTTACACTCTCCAGGATTCCCATGTGACCAGCTTAGTGGTACTTACTGAATTCCTCCCAAATCTCCAGTTGGTTTGTCAACTCTAACTCAGAGCACCTCACCTCACGGTGTTGCCAGCACAGGGGAAAACAAAGGATGTAGCCTATTCCCATGGAATTGCTCAACACAAGGCAGACACTGGGAGAGCAACGGAGTGCGAAGAAAAGGTCGCTGGATGAGGGCAGGTGGGCCTGGAAGGGGCTGCTCTGGGACTCCCAGGGGAGTCTGGTGAAGCTGGGGACTCGAAGGGCTGGCCTGATGGGAAGGAACGGTATGGGTTGGAGAATGGTGGGCAGCAGAATGGAGGCTGAGAACAGTAGGGCCCCTGTAGGCTGGAAACGGGGTGTGGGTCATGGATGGGGGAGGTCAAGGTTACGGAGGCCCGCTGTCCTGGTTGGGGTAATGCAGGCCCACTCCTTGGCTGAGGTCAGGAGGGGAAGGGGCTGATTCAAGAAGTGCAGCTTAGAGACTTAGCAGGCCTTGGTGACCACTTGGACGCAAGGGAAGAAGGAGAGCACAGGCAAAGGTGACATCAGGATGCAGAGCTGGGGCAGGGGGTGGGGATGAGAGGGCTCTGCACAGCCCACGAGAGCCCAGTCCACTTCCTGCCTCACTCTGTCCACCTCCCACGGCCCGAGCAGCCCCAGAGGGGGTGCTGCCTGCCTCCACCTGCTCCAGGTCAGGCAGGATCATCTACCTTGGCAAGGAGCACAGCAGAGCTTCCAGACAGCCAAAGGTTCAGGAAGGGCTGCAGCTGACTCGGTGACTGGCTCACAGAGAGCAGCACAGCATCCGCGGTCCTGCAAACGCTTAAAACAGGGGGATCATGAGGGCAAGCAGAGGCTCTCGTTCCAACAGGTGCCGGTTCCCGGGGGTGGACAAGTTGGTGAAGGACTGAGTGGTCAAAGGTCTCTCTCTGGCCCTTAGGCAGTCTGCTCAGAACATACTATACTACGTGTGGCCAGGAAGTGTCCCAGTGCCATGTATGCCGACAACCCCACCTTCCCACAATGAATACGAAACTGGCCAGCACAGTCCCTGGACATAGCAGGTGTCCACTAACATTAACCTCCACCTACTGTTTCCTTCTGAGCACTGTCATTTCCCCGTGGGTCATTCCCAGACAAGGTATGGTAAGCAAACCCACGCTCAGCAGCCCCAGGGAGCTTGCTATGACTGTCAAGAGACAGAACAGCACATCCCAGGGAGACAGAGAAGCAGTCCCAGGGGAAGAGAGGAGGTATCCTAGGACGATGCAATGAATGGCAGTAAACCAACACAAAAGACGCAGGGGATCTGGCTTTAGTTCTGGCTTTGCCAAGGCACATAAACCTCTCTGGGCCTCAACCTCCTGCTTCACCTCCCACCAGTGCTGTAATGAGTCACGGACTCACCAGGCAGGTGTACCCTTAGCAAGGTGCTTTCTTACATAGAGTTTGGGGGTAGTTATTCTATTTCCCAGCTCCCCTTCCTTAAATAACAGGGTGAACTAAACTGGTTCCAGAATCACTCACATTTTGATGATAAAAGGCAGGAACAATAATAAAGCTTGAGCTTAATTAGGAAAACCAAACACTGTAAGCAAGTCAGAGGCAAGAAAGGGCTGTCAGGGGCTCAGCATCTCGTGCAGGGTAAAGGAGACTTTCTACATCACCCGTATGATTGACCTCAATGCCATGTTCCCAGAAAAATGGAAAGCTTTTCAGTGGACATTAGGTTCTACGTTTTTTATTCCAAAAGTGTGCTGGAAAGAGAACCTCGCCAGTGTCATTTTGTGATTTCACTGTTCTTCTCTCTATCCTGCTCTAAAGAGGGAACACAGGACTCACTGGAGCTCCAGATGGCACTGAGTCAAACTGGGGAACTGCTCCCCCCGACCCCCCCACTTTCACCACCCTCCCAGCAAACTGCTCCTACGGTCCCGGCTCCTGCCCGCCAGCAGCCCCGTCGGGGGGTGGCCCACTCCCTCACAGCTTGCCCCTGCTGGGCTGGAGGACCCAGGAGTGAGGCCCCGAAGGTTGCTCCGCCCAATGGCAGCCTTCCCCTCTGCCCCGCATTGTACACAGTTTATGCAACAGTTTCACCCCCAAGTCCCCCGAACCTCACAGCTACCGGGGGAAGAAGGCCCGGCTTGTGGCACTTCGCAGTTGTGCCCCACTTCGTAGATGCAGAAACTTTGGCTCGGAGAAGTGAGGTGAATGTCCCAAGGCCCCACGCCGCGGGGGTGAGGCTGGGGGCGGGACCGCTCCCCCGCTTCCGGGAAGGCGGCG